CAAGGCGACGACACCACCACCTCCGCCAGCCTGCCCCTCGGCACCACCACCGTCCAGACCACCATCGAGACCACCATCACCGAGTACGTCGACTGCACCGTCGACGGCACCCCCACGCTGACTCCTGAAGTGCACACTTTGACCAAGACCGTCGAAGTCGAGTGCGCCTCTGAAGTCAGTGTCGGCACCACCTACGTCGAAACCACCGTCAACGGCACCCCGACCACCCAAGCGCAGGAGCTCACCACCACCATCACCAAGACGTTGCAACCCGAGATCGCGTCGCTGGAATGGGACGACGTCCCCATTACTTTGACCCGCACCGTGGTTGAGTACATCACCACCTCTACCGACGGCCACTTGACCACTCAGGCGGTGAACACGATTACCGTGACCCCCACCGTGGCTCTGGAAGTGATCCCCACTCAAAAGCACTCGTTGGAAGCCGAATCGAAGGAAGCCCCCGCTCCTGCTCCTGAATCGTCGTCGGCCGCTGGTGCTGACAACGACCACACCGTCACTGTCACCTACCAATCGGAACACTCGCTGGCTGCCGCCGTCGCCGACAACGAGGACGACTTCACCCTGACCCTGACCATCACCAAGTTGCTTACTGTCACTTTGGAAGGCGGCTCGGAACTGGTGGAAACCCTCGTTGCTACTACTGAAGAAAACCAATGTCACCCCACTGCTACCGTTACCGAAACCACCACTGCTTACGTCACCGTCTACCCTTCTAACCAGGGCGAAAACGGCAACAACGTGGAATCGTCGGTGGCCGAGGAAGACGTCACCGTCACCATCACCAAGACCCAAACCACCCTGCTCCCCATCGAAGCCACCTTCACCGGCGCCGACAACCAGGTGGTCACCGTGACCTCGTGGGTGCCCCACGTCACCGAGGTGTGCGAAACTAAGGTCCCCTTCACCCCCACCCTGGGCCTGGACGTGCCCGCTGACGCTACCACTGTCACCGTATACCCCGACAACAAGCCCAAGCCTACTGACGACACCAAGCCCTGTACCGTGTGCAAGGTGTTGACGCTTGTCAACGTTGTCCCCACCACCTACACCTCGGAAGTTTCGATCTCGGCTAAGTCTTCGGCTGCCACTTCGTCGGCCCCCGTCGAATCGTCTGCCATCGAATCGTCTGCCATCGAGTCTTCGGCCGCCGCTACTTCGTCTGCTGCTGAATCGTCGGCCGTCGAATCGTCTGTTGCCGCTGAATCGTCGGCCGTCGAATCGTCTGTTGCCGCTGAATCGTCTGCCGTTGAATCTGCTGCCGAATCTTCTGCCGCTGAGACCTCTGCTGTGCCCACTGCCTCGCTGACTGAAGCCGCCTCTTCGGCTGAAGCCTCGTCGACCGAAGCTACTTCTTCCGCTGAAGCCTCGGCCACCGACGCCGCTACTTCGGCCTCGGCTGAAGCTTCTGCCACCGACGCTGCCCCCTCGGCCTCCGCTGAAGCCTCGACTACTGACGCTGTTGAATCGCTGGCCTCGGCTACTGCCGCCGCTCTCTAGGAATTGGTCGGTATGGGTGACGCTCCCGGCGTCTAGATATACCACCCGGTTTGATCGCTACAAACTCGGGACTAGCGTGCCGCCAGCAGTGTCTTGATGACTCCTATGTTGGGTACCCCCTTTTATGACCCCTCCCGACTCGACCTTTTCCAGGACTACGAATAAGGCGAGCCGACGTATTCTCTTCTCTCTCTACCCACATTATTTTTTTTTATATTTTTTTATAACTCGGACCCAACCTGGCGAACAATGAATTATACAAACCGCTTGAACATTCTCGACACGTACCATTGTGAAATCATCACAAAGGAAAAATTCTCTTAGCTCGCGCCTCCGCCTCGTTTAGGCCAAGGCTGCTATAATTAGGGTCACCGTTAAAAACGCCTTACCCCAGCCGCTTAATCCTCAAAGAAGCAACCGCTGCCTCATGAGTCCGTGGTTGCCAGGGAGCAACTGGCAACGGTTGTTGTCATTTTCTTTCACCGACAGACAGGCGCGTGATTTCGGCACCCTGCCGGCCTGACGTAAGGATGCAACGCACATGCCACATTGAGAGTTTTTTGCCATTGCGAGGTGGTGTCTCCAGGGCAGGGCGCTTCGAAAGTAAACAACAACGCACGTCGGTTACTTGAAGGGAGAGAGGCGTAGGGCGCTGTATATTCACCGGCTCCGAAAGGAAATGGGTGAAAACGAGTTGAACTTGACCAGCTATGTAGTAGAGGTGACGGCAGATATTTTTGCTAGTGTTTTTATTGACTGTTTACCCTCGCTTCGTCCAAGTAATTTCATTTCGTCCCTCAGTGGTTATGTTTGAAATTCGATGTTTTTGTTGACGGCAGCGCGATTGTGTCCCGTACCAACCGCGTTTCGCTTCGCCCCTCACTAAAGGCTTCGCTTGGCGGTACGATCGCCTATAGTTGCGTGAGGTAGCGGGGTCTAAATGGATGAATCGAGGAAAAATCAGAGTGGAACATTGTAGCCGAATTAAACAATGCACATGAGCTAAATCCTATTTGATACCCTCTGATTGACACGGACTACTTTGATATGGTTTCCGATAAGTGTCTTGTCTCGCTTACTGTAATTACCACCTATGGGGCTTCAACAGCTACACTGCTATTTTGCATTCTTCACCAGTTATGACAAGATTTAGTATCCTATAGTGGTGATTAAAATAGCAATACTTAGCAACACCGTCCACCGATAACATTTCCACAGTTGACCTTGGTGGGTTAATATCACCTCTTCCTTCCCTCCCTGGCACCAGGCAAACAACGTCACGTGCCCACAGTAGCTTGCCAACTGTTCTAACAAAGTAAGCCACACTTCGCAACGTTTTCTCGCAATTTCCCTAAATTCAACGGTGATTAAACCCGGTGACCAACCCCGTAATTCTGACTACTGTGAACAACCACTATTTGATTATCATTCTACCAATTACAATAATACTTTAATCTGAATAAACCCGAAGTGATTCAATACCCCTAAAAAGCTTTCTACTTCATTATCTAAAACTCTGACGTGTTCACTTATCATCATTGGCTCCCCATCTTTTTTCATCTCTTACTCTTCACTTGTTTCGTATGATCTTCGATCACGTCCATCTCATAGGCGCGCGCGTTTGTTTTCTATCGCACCCCAACCTTCTGTGACCTCCCCGTGATCCACCTCCAGCGTGCCCCCCGACATGTCGTCGGACCAATTATCGCCCGTGGCGGTGCCTCGGAAGTCGGATATGTCCTCGCGCTACTCGCAAAACGGCACCAGTGCCGACTCCGCAACCATGGCAGACTCGACCCACCCCCAGCTTGACCCGCCCACATCCCCTCACATTAACCACACCGTGGCCCAGCCGCCAGTGAAACTGAGTGCTTCGCGTACTAAACGGTCGCTCACAGGCACTCCATTGATCTCTAGAGAGACCACCTACCAGGCCCACCGCTCCACGTACTCGTCGCTGCAGCGGATGCGGTTGAACCAGCCCCGACGCCCGTTACAACCTCCTTACTCAGCAGGTCCTCGTTCGGTGGCGGTGGAGCGCCCAGAAATCCCCGTGCTTGACCCTGATGTCGATGGAGACCTTTCCGACGATAGCTCTCCCATCAAACGGGGGTCTAAAGTGGCAGGACTTCAACTGCTGCGGGTGTACCACCACCCTGGCGACGGTGAGCCTCCTGCCAAGTACATCAAGGTGAGTCTGAGTGCCTCTAACCCGACATCGCTGCCACAAGTGCCCCCCTCAACTCGTGAGGCCGACGTTACCATATTGCCATTAGCTTCCCACTTGGCTCCACCCACTGATTATATCACCCCAGAACGGTGGACGGAGCCAGTGGCAAAGCTGCCCCCTGTCGACCAACACGTGCGCATCACTTCACATCCCGACCAAGACACCACCAGTCCTCTCAAAACCAAGACTGAAGCACACAGCGGTAACAATGGTAGTGTGCCTCAAGAACTGCTATCGCCTACAAATTGGGACGAGGACCTCGAACAGATACGGCATGAATACCGCCAGCTTGCTGACAACCTCTATCGCCAATTGGATACCAAGCATGACCGCATCACAATATTGGAGACGGAGCAAAAGCGGCACGAATCAGAATTGTTACGCGCCCGCCAACGGAGCCTGGAACTTGAAGTTGAGCTCAAATCCACTCGTCACCAACTTCAGCAAGCGCAACAACAACGTGACCACCACTCCCATCAACACAACCTGCTCAGTTTGGAATATGAGCAACTCCAGGAGGACTTGGACGAACGCGAGGCGCGAATAACTCAATTAGAGGACGAGAAATCGCGCCATGACGAAGCCATGAACCAACTTCAGGATAAGTTGACTGAAACTGAGCATGAACTTGATAAGGTTGTTTCCTCATTCAAGCAAGTTCGCGAACAACTAGTGGACCTCCAGGGCCAGTACGACGAGCTTGCTCTGCAGGAACTGGCTTACAAGGATGAGATTGATGACCTTCATCGCAAAATCAAGCAGTACGACGACACTCGGCGTCTGCAACAAACTGAAGTGAGTGACTTACGTCGTCGACTAGCTGACACCCAGGAAAAGTATGCCAGTCTCGAGTCGCGTAATGCCAAGCTTGAAGAGGAGTACAACCAGGCGAAAGATGTGATGAATCAAGTGCGTCAAATGGAAGAGGGGCTCAATAATTTGGAGCAAGTGTTGACGAAAACCGAGCGACGCAACGCCGAACTCAATGACGAGCTCGAACAGGAAAAGCTAGCACATCGTGAACTGATCAAGCAACTTAGTGCTGACCAAGAAGAGATTACCCGGAAACTTGAAGCGGCGTACACTGACGAAAACCGTCATCGCCAGCAAGTGGAAGATCTACAGAAACAGACCCGGGAAAGTCTGGATGAGATCGGTCGACTCACTCGTGAGATTCGCCAGTGGGAACGGCGGTACGATGAACTCAATGAAGCCTACCACCGGGATGCGCTGGAATGGAAGCGCAAAGTGGAATATGAAGCTGCACAGAGTGGCGATATCCGCCAGGCACATGCCCAAGAGTTAGCTGACTTGAAGGCGAAGCACGCGGCCGAGCTTCTGATTCAAGCCGACAAACACGCCCGTGAACGCCAAAAGGCTGACGACGAAATCCGCAACCTTAAGGCTGAAGCCGACCGCGCTCTTGCTCTGCAAGCCCATTACGAACAGGAGTTGCAGGAAGTGCAAGCGAAGTGCGATCGCGATTGGGAGGAGAAGTGGAACGTGTCGATGGCAGAGATTGTCCAGACCCACGAGCTTCGTCTCCAGGAAGTCGAGCAGTATTTGCACGCTGAGTACGGCCGTAAGCACCAGGAGAAGGTGAAGCTGATCAAGGACGTGCACCAGCTGAACATGGAAGCGATGAGAGATCGGATGCTTCAGGCGGAGAAGAAGGCCGAACGCATCAAGGAGGACTTCGAACAGTACAAGAAGCTGCTTAAGTACCACGATTAGCATGATACCGATAATATATAGTCTAATACGACGTTAATGCCGAGTCATGTAGGTTAATGGATATTGAAAAGTTGGATTGTGATGATATTCGCTAAATGAACACAAAGCTATGTCTATTGACGTGGTCAGATATTTTTCCAATGATAAAGTGGCATCAGAGACTAACTCAATCGCTACCTCTTTGACAGGAGTTTCTCGTAACTGAATCTGGAATTTCAATCCCCAGGGCTCGCCACCTACCACCACACCCCCTTAGTGAAAAATGCAGACAGTACTTCACCCCGATCGGGTTAAGGCGAATGACACCACCATTTAGGTGGTGCGAGAAAAAACAGGAATCTCGGGATAATTAGCCGAGGAAAATTAGACCGCCAACGCTTCTACCCCTCTCTCGATCCATTGGCATTTTTCGCCGCCTGGTTCCCCCATTACTAAGCTCCGTTCTCGCTCCCCCTTTCCCATAGTCTCGGCCTCCCTCCCCCTCGTTGCCACCGCACCCAGACCCGGTGCTCGCACGACAAATTTTCTCGTCCCCACCACGACAACAACAGTGCTCCGGTGGTTTCTCCTGTGGCATTCCTTTCCCGACACCATTGCCTAGTTAGCCTGCGCCATGAAGGGGAGAAGTCCGCAAAAGGCTCCGACCAAGTTCAAGACTGACCTGGACATCAGCAAGGGCACCTACCGCGAGCGCGAGTTAGAGCGGTGGGTGCCCGACGCCGACGCCCCGCCGCCCACCACCATGGAGCCGCTGGCGGGCGCCTGGGACCAGTTCAAAGTCAACGAGGAGAAGTTCGGCGTGGTGCTGACGTTCGACGAACACTTGTACACGACGAGAATCGACAAGCTGGCGCCGGACTACGCGGCCAAAGCTAAACGCGCCGACGCCATTGCCCGCGAGATTGAAGGGCTGACGCTGGGCGACCGCCACGTGTTAGAAGAGCGGGGCATTGTCGTCGATGACCTGGGCGCCGACGAAGAAGACAAGTATCTGGGGGTAGACCGTCGCGGCGACGAGCTTATGGCCGCACTCCGCGGCGGACCCGCCACTGGTAGCAACCCCACGCCGCTGAATTCAACGAAGCCAGGGCGCTACGCCACCCCTAGACAACGGGCGGCGGAGTACCATAACGACCCTGCCATTGTCCTGAGTTCAGCCACGGTGAAGAAGCGCGACCAGACGCCGGCGCAAAAGACCCCCACTCCGCAAGCGCTGCCAGCGCCGCTGTCAGCGAAACCGCACCCGCTGCAGTCACCGCCGGCACCCAAAACCGAAGAACAATTCCGCCTCAATGCTCAGCTGGAGATCAACTCGTTGCGTGAGTTTTCGGCGAACTTCAAAATTCCTCATAAAATGCCCAATGACTTACTCCCTATACTCGCCAAGGATAAACTGAAGCAAGAGGAAATCATGAAGAAGCAAAAGGATAGCCCCAAGAAGACGTCGAAGGCGTTCAATCCTAAGGCGGCCGCATTCACGCCGCTGTTTGTACCTAAACTGGCCAACCTGCCGGGGGCTCCCCCGGCGCTGGCGCCGGCGCCGCTGAAACAGTATCACCGGCCGCAACAAATGCAGCCTCAGCAAAGAAACCAACAGCGTCAATATAATCAAGGACAACACCACGGACTGCATCCCAATGGTCAGGGTTCTAAACGTCACCACCAAATCCTGGCGGCAGAGTTCTTTGGCGACGCGCTGAGGGTGCCGACGAAACAATCACAACAACGGAAAATCCATGAGTTCAAGAACTCGTTTTCGTTGTTTATCACTGCTCGCGAGCGGGCGGAAGAGGGTGCTGCTCCCATTTACGAGCGTACTTTCCAGACTCCGCCGACGTGGGACCAAACTATCGATCAGCCGTATGATCAGATCTTCCCTCCCGCCCTTGTGGGTAAGATGCCGCCTCAAGCAGCACCGGGGATGATTCCTGGACAGCCGTTTGTGCCTCAAGGTCTTCCCGTGCCCTACCCGGGTAAGTACCCGATGTCACCTGCTCAGCATCCCCAAGCGGCGGCGGCGGCGATGGCGCAGTTCCACCAGCAGCAACAGCAATATCATGTGGCGATGATGTACCAACAACAGTTTCCCCCGGGGGGAGCGCCCATGCCTATGTACGGGGCCGAGCCTCCGTACATGACCCCCCAGTTTATCCCGCCGCCCCAGGGATACTCCGGCCAAGGGTCGGGGCAGGGCAATGGAGGCATGTACCAAGGGGGCAGACGGTACCTGAAGAATCGGCCTAACCACTAAAAACAATGCATTTTACACGGCGTTGTTACATCTAGAGGTTCAGCGCTGGGCAAGGAGTAGCATGGTAGCGTTATACAGGGTTATACGACAATACCATAAAGAAAACAACCACGGGTATCTATCGACCGTCCCACGATTGAAAAGAGATCGCCGTATTCCTGGCAGGTGAAGTGACACTAAATCGAAAACGAGTACGTCCCCAACCGATCTAAGGCATGTCGTGCGGCAACGGGTATCTATCAAATATTAATCATATAAAAGTACATAAACGGAAAAATAAGAGAGACATTAGGACTGAGTGGAGAGCCAGTTGGCGATGTCAATACGACGGTCGGTCGCCAGATACATCAGCTCTACCATCAGGGGGGACGACACCGCACTGGTGCGGTTTTGAAGGTGGGCTCTGGCTTCAGGTTTAGCGTGCTTCAGCAACGACACTACTCTAGTAAAATCTACCAGGTCGAGGTAGGGGATATCAAGGCCGCGAGCGTAGTCGTCGAAAGGTAAGTTGTGGTTGGTTTTGTTGGCAAAGGTGGGGTAGACACAGAGGCCGTTACCCAAAACCAACACGCTGGTTGCGGGGCTGTCCCCTTGGGGAGTGCCGGCGACTTCGAGGTAGGCGATTTGGTTATCGCTCAAGTCCGCCAACCCGGGGTACTTATCGCGGGCCAGCGAGAACTGGGGGTAAGGACAGTTGGGGAAGGCGACTCCGTAGTAAGGCATGTTTGCTTGTTTGGAGAAGATGACTGTCGTTTAGCTACATCTCCACATTTACCGTGTGACTAGGGCAGAGCATGTGAATGCCCGTACACCCCATTCAACCGAGGGCCGAAAGTCGCACAAGCAACTATTGGTAGTCACCCACTGAGAGTCACCGCCAGTAGTCCACTTTAGTCATCCTATGCCTACCAGGCCAACAACCTTGTTATTGGCTGTGATCAGTGTACATTATGTGTCAACTCGGCGTGGTAGCGCCGCCTGAGACTAAAGCCCAGGCTTATTCGCATTGTTTGTAGGTCTTTTCTTTTTTCTCATATTTGTGGGCTGATACTATTTGACCCATGGCTCGTAACTTAAAGTCGACGACAGGAAGTTGACCTACCTAGCTTCTGGTACCTCTTCATTAAATTTTACATCACCGAGCTGACGTTGCCAAGATTCTCGTCAAGTGATTCCCCTACCCTCGTTGAAAGCTCATATTTTGCTATTAGATGGTGACTGAGTCATCTACGTAGCCATTGGTCGCTAGTTAATGATTATAGGTTGAGATTTGCGAGAAACAGAAACGTGTTGTCACCGTAATCTGACGAGTGCCATGGTAGCGATTGGCTGGATTTTTTTGTCCCCTTGTCGACATGTAGCTTACAATAGTTCTAGGTGCTTCAAAGCCCCCATCCCAAGTAACCAGGGCATCCAGCAATCCATGCGTGTGGCCTGGACAAATAAATTCACACTGAGAAACGAGTGGAGACTGCTTTGACACTACCCGAGAAAGCTGTGTGGAAAATGTGTCGTAAATCCCCTGAATAATGTCCCGGTCGTGCTTGGCAAAATACGATCAGATGACACAAAACTGCGAGAGCATCCCTGTGAGGCTCCCCCGGCTACTTCGAGTTGCCAAGATAACTACTGATGGGTGAGATAACCAATGGCAGTAGGTGCAGTTTGCGGAGTCAGGCACCGGTTGTCGGACGGCACGGCTATAGTAGAAGAAGTAGAGCATAATAACCGTTACTAGTTTACATATACAATGACAAACGTTAGCAGCAATGGCGCCTACGCGTAGCAAACTATTTTGGGATGCTATCAGATTGATCAAAACCACTGTGCCGATTTCGGCATTGAGAGCAGAGTACAATAGACGCCCGAAAGAAAAACCGGAACTCATCTGACGCATCTCGTCAAATCCCACATTACGAGCAATTTCGCGATCGCAATGGGGAAATATGACAAAAACACTACTGTATAGTACTTATTAGTGGCAATGAACCATACCCCACCACTTTTTTCTGGTCGATTATCATCAATATGCCCCAAAATGAGTAGGCTACGACAACTGATGTTCTTGATAAATTAGATGCCCGCGGCCGGAGTGCCCTCGGAACGCCATGCACGGCGAAAAAAAATTTTCATCAATTTTTATCAGATCGCAGCGACGAAGGAGCCAGCCTTGCGTTCGCAACCGCACTTATCGCCCTTTTGGGCCCCTGAAATCAGCTATGGTCTCGTCGACATGGATATTCCTTCTGTCATTGATTGCTTACCCCTCACCGTCCCTGACCCAGAATTAATCATATTTTCCTTACCGTGTGGTTCCGAGAATCTCTTGGGTGTAACGTGCGTCATGCACGGGATTGACCAATAACTGTGGAGGGGGGGCAGCATACGTATAAAGGGGAGGCGACGGACCGGCTTTCTCATTAATCACCAAACGGGCACCACACGATGTTCAAGGCCGTCAACCAGATCCTCGTGTTGCTCACCTTGTGGGTCGGCCTCATCGCCGCCGAGACCCATACGTGGTACTTTGAAACCGGCTGGGTCGACGCCAACCCTGACGGCTGCCACGAACGGAAGATGGTGGGTTTTAACGGCACCTGGCCCCTCCCCACGTTGCGGGCGAAGAAGGGTGACACCATCAACTTTTACTTGATCAACGGTTTGACTGACAAGAACACCTCGGTCCACTTCCACGGGTTGTTCCAAAACGGGACCAATCAAATGGACGGCCCCGAAATGATCACTCAATGCCCTATCCCCCCCGGTGAAACGATGTTGTACAACTTCACTTTGGACCAAGTGGGTACTTACTGGTACCACTCGCACACCCAAGGCCAATACGGTGACGGGATGAGAGGGGTGTTTCTCATCGAAGACGACCAGGAACCTCCTTTCGAGTACGACGAAGAAGTCACCTTGACGGTGGGGGAACACTACCACGACTACTCGGACGAGTTGCTCCACAAGTTCCTCAATTTGTACAACCCCACTGGTGCCGAGCCCATCCCGCAAAACTCGTTGTTCAACGAAACTCGTAACGCTACCTGGAAAGTGGAGCCCAACAAGACGTACTTCTTGCGTATCGTCAACATCGGTCGGTTCGTGTCGCAATACTTGAAGATGGAAGACCACGAATTTGAGATTGTCGAAGTTGACGGGGTTTACGTCGAGCCTCAAACCACCGACTTCCTTTACATCACCGCCGCTCAGCGGTACGGGGTGTTGGTGAGAACCAAGGACACCACCGACAAGAACTACAAGTTCTGCAACTACATCGACCAAGACATGTTGGATGTCATCCCCGATGATCTTGTGTTGAACAGCACCAACACCATCATGTACAACGAATCTGCGGGGTCGTTGCACGAGGAAGAGGCGTTGATCATCGACGACTGGGACACATTTTTCGACGACTTCACCCTCAAGCCCTTGGCAGGCACTGAACTCTTGCCTGACGCCGATATGACCATTACTTTGGACGTCAAGATGGACAACTTGGGCAATGGGGTCAACTATGCCTTCTTCAATGACATCACTTACACCAAGCCTAAGACCCCCATTCTTATGACCGCTCTTGCTGCCGGTGAATTGGCCAAGGACGCCACCGTGTACGGGTCCAACACCCACTCGTTTGTGTTGGAAGGCGGTGACGTCGTCGACATCGTTGTTAACTCGATGGACCCCGGTAAGCACCCGTTCCACTTGCACGGCCACACCTTCCAATTAATCGCTAGAGGTGAATCGGTTGATGATGATGCTGAGCCCCTCAAGTACAACGCCACCGAACACGGCAATGATCTCCCCGAAACGCCCATGATCAGAGACACTGTGTTTGTCAACCCTAACTCGTACATTGTGATGCGGTTCAAGGCCGACAACCCTGGGGTATGGTTCTTCCACTGTCACATCGAATGGCACTTGGACCAAGGTCTCGCCGTTGTTCTCGTCGAAGACCCCATCGCCATGCAAAACACCCCGTCGCAACAATTGACCGAAGATTCGATCAGAGCCTGTCAACTCAACAACATCTCTTTGAATGCTAACGCCGCTGGCAACACCGACTTCTTGGACTTGACGGGCGAAAACAAGCAATACAAGGACTTGCCTGCTGGTTTCACCGCCCGTGGTATTGTGGCACTTGTGTTCTCGTGCGTTGCTGGTATCGTCGGTATCATTGTCATTGCCATCTACGGTATGGCTGACATCAAGAACGTGGAAGCTCGGGTCATCCGTGACTTCGACGTCGACCCTCAAGACTTGGAGGACGACTCGGTGTCGTCTCAAGAGTCTACTCACGAATCGTCGGACTTGCGCAAGTAAGTTTTACTTTCGAGTACTCACTCATAATTATTCTTTCTCAGCAATGACCCCATTTTCTTCTGCCCTGTCAAAAAAAAAGTGTGTGTGTGTGTGTGTGTCCTTTGGTTTGCTGTAGCAAAGGACTCACTGAACTGGCAGCTTTTGGCGTCTTTGTTGTAGATCGATCAACCTTTTGTATGACTTTTAATGAGAATCCCGTTTAGATTTAAACTTCACGTAGCATCATAATTCACCATCAAAGCATCAGCATAAAGGCATCACCAACTGCAATAAAATGGGCATGATCCATTAGATATAGCCCGACATTTTTCAGCTTCCGGGTTAGCTCCGTCGAACAAAATTTGTTATATCTGTTTAACTCCCCTGAACACAGAAGGACCACGCCTATTGAGCAAATCCAATAAATGAAAGGCGACACACCATGAGTTTTATACTCCTAGGTTCTTGGCACCACAAGCCATGGGGAGCATTTATTTGTCCTTGTTAGGCGACTATTCGACTCATGAACCTGCTTAGCCGCACTTTTCATCAGGCCGTGTGCAGGATGCTTGGAGTTATCTTAAAGATCTCATGATGATTGAAAACAAAAATTTTAGCTCAAGGTAGCAGTTAATTTGGGGGGATATGTAACTGTATTTAAGAATCTGCTAGCTACGCCACGTTTTAACATTTCTTCGGATGCTGCCGTTGCACTTTTCTTGACAGGGGCTTGGCATTCACTCATAATTGTGGTGGTGAAACCTCGAGAAGCGTTATATATCCCATGGACATGAAATGAGCGAATTCACATACGAATCATTACTATTCAATAGCTTAACGTGTGTCAAACGATTTTCTCCGCTCCATTTACTCTCGTCGAACATTTAGCTGGTCTCTATTCCAAACAAGCTCGCGGACATATCGGCGGCACCCCGCCGATAGGCTGGACCCATAATCTCACAGCTCGCTAAAAATATTCGTGCCAACTGCAATATGGAATAGAAAACAACCTATCAGCATCTTGGGTCCGTTTCATAGGAGTACGGAAGAGGATTTTAAATCTTTCATATTTTTACTCCGAAATGTTCACTGGTAGTATCAATTTTGGTAGTCAGCGTATTTTGTTAGTCGAATTACGTACGTATTATAGAGCATATAAACTGTGACGGAACAACCTATGACTTATTTTGATTTAGGTACCCTCATAATTTATATGGCTACAAATCTGGTCGTTGGTATGCCATCCCTCACAAATAAGTTGGTATGTTTCATCAAGGATAACTCAAAAATTTTGATTTTACACCTCTTGTTGATGTCGCTAATCTCTCAGATAAGTAGACTTTCAATCCTGCATACCACTTCGTAGTGCCTATGAGCCAGGTATTCCAAGGAAAGCGGAAACGGAAGCTCAATTGGGACGATGAAGAAGAACCTGACAGTCCTGAGCCTCAGAACGATGCTGAGAAGACGGATGAGGCGGACCAGTCACAGCTAGATACATCGGTTGAAGCGCCCACAACGGTTGATGATGGCACTGCTCGAACCTCATCTCGCCAGGAATACCTCAAGCAACGACAGCAACGGAAATTGGAGGAGCTCGAAAAAGAGCTAGCTGATCCTAATTGTGTTGACTATGACAAGAAGGCCAAAGTGTACGAGCGTCTCAAGCTGATTATGACGAGAGATACAAATGTCTCTACATACACTTTGAACTCCAGCAGTGAACCTTTATCTCGGCGGGAAAAGCATCAGCTTTTAACATCCAAAACTAGGCGGGATGATGGAGGCCCAAAGAAGCTGTGGGAACAGCAACAGCTCGAAAAAGTGGGCCAAGTTGAAACCGATGATCGCATCCATCTTCCTGGTCTGGAGAAATATGAATTCGTATTTGATCAGTCTCAGTTTGTTGACTTTGGTGATGAAGAGACTTATGGTGGTGAAGATGATCTCGAAGATGACGTTAAACCTGAAGGCGATGACATTCAAGCGGTTAGACGCCTGCTTCCTGTTTATCGGTTCCGCCAATCGTTTTTGGATGCAGTCAAAGCTAACCCAGTGATTATTGTAGTTGGTGAAACCGGTTCCGGTAAAACTACTCAGCTTCCTCAGTTTCTCTACGAGGAAGGATACGCCAAGGGCAAAATTGTCGCCTGTACCCAGCCGAGACGAGTGGCAGCTACTTCGGTGGCGAAACGTGTTGCTGAAGAAATGAATACTAAACTCGGACAAAAAGTAGGGTACACGGTGCGTTTTGACGACACTTCGCTGCCCGAAACAGCAGTTAAGTTTATGACTGATGGTATGCTTCTTCGAGAGTTTCTTACTGACCCGTTGCTATCCAAGTACGGGGCGATTATGATTGATGAAGCTCACGAACGGACACTCCTGACTGAAATTGTGCTAGCTCTTCTCAAAGACATCATCAAAGAGCGTACTGATCTCAAAGTGATTGTGGCTTCAGCAACAATAAATGCTGACCGATTTTCGGAATACTTTGACGGTGCTCCTATTCTCAACATTCCTGGCCGTCGGTTCCCTGTTGAAGTTCACTATACACTGGCGCCAGAGGCCAACTATATCCAGGCCGCCCTTACTACAATTTTCCAAATTCATTTAACTCAACCATTGCCAGGTGATATTCTTGTGTTTCTTACAGGTCAAGACGAAATTGAGCAAATGGAGAACGCCTTGGTTGAAGCGTTGGAGAAACTCAGAGACAATGACGAAGTGGCTCCCCTCGAGGTTTGCACGATCTACGCCAATCTTCCTCCAGAGCAACAAGCAAAGATTTTCGAACCCGTTCCTTCAGGCACCCGCAAAGTGGTACTTGCAACCAATATTGCGGAAACGTCAATTACCATCAATGGCATTGCTTACGTCATTGATCCTGGTTACGTGAAACAGAATGTCTACAATCCACTTACCGGCATGGACTCGTTAGTGGTGGTTCCAAGTCTGCGTGCTTCAGCCGACCAACGAGCCGGGAGAGCTGGGAGAGTGGGGCCAGGGAAATGCTTTCGCTTGTTTACTAAGTGGGCTTACGATCACGAATTGGAGGTGAACCCCACTCCAGAAATCCTTCGTGTGAATCTTGTGGGTACGGTCTTGCTTCTCTTGTCGATGGGTATCACTGATTTAGTGCACTTTGATTTCATGGATAAGCCGCTGGCTCAAGGTATGCTGAAACTGTTGGAGTTGTTGTATGCGCTTGGTGCACTCAATAGAAAAGGTCAGCTTACTCCGACTGGTCTCCAAATGGCAGAGTTCCCGTTGCCACCAACCTTGTGTAAAGCATTGTTGACGGCTAGTAAGCTTAATTGCATTTCCGAAGTGATTCTGATTGTGTCAATGCTTGGAGAATCAGGGTCTTTATTCTACAGACCCAAAGATCATAAGGAGGCAGCCGATAATGCCCACAAAAAATTCTTTCACCCTAGAGGTGACCACTATATGCTCCTCTCGATTTGGAACGAGTTTGTTGATCTGGGATTCTCCAAGCTGTGGTGCCAGGATCACTTTGTTCAGTATAAAACTCTTAAACGCGTTAAGGACGTCAGAACTCAGGTAGAGGGTTTGTGTGACAAGATTGGTTTGGACGTTCATGGTGAACAAGATGATATTGATGAAAGTGAACGTGAGGGCCTCATCGAGAAGGCACTCATCTCGGGTTTCTTTGCTAACATTGTTCGACTTCTGGCAATGGGCGACAGCTTCAAACAAGTTAAAGCATTGCTGGGCAATGCCGGGACGGTGCTGGTCCACCCGTCGCTGTGCGTATACCCCATGAAACCTCCCCCGAAATGGTTGTTGTACTACGAACTTGTGCTCACGTCAAAGGAGTATCTTCGAAATTGTATGGTCATCACCGACCCTCGCTTGATTGAGACGTATGGAGGGCATTACTACAAGCCAGACCAACTCAAGTAAACTATCACAGTTTATAACAAGTTTTTGCTCAATACGAGTTCTCATTAGCTTAATCTCGCTACATATATATTCATCTTACAGAGATCATTTAAATATGCAGACAGTTATAGGGACATTAACTTCAGAGTAGTCTGTCAATTGAAACTGATTCTAGTGTTTGCTTTCTATTTTATTATTTTATTCTTTATACTTATTTATTAGTAAACCTATGCTGAAATCCCGCCAAACCCTTTTTTCATCTCTATAAAGTAGCCGTTCTATCTAAACCCAATCAAATTTAATAATACACGCGCACGGGGCCACAGAACCGCCGTTCAGAAAAAAAAAGAGTCAATAATGCAAATGCATAGGTCTTAGCGCCTAGCGCTGATTACCACCACAGTTGGTTAGAGGTTTGGTTGCCGTAACCGTCATTGTAGAAGCTGCTGCCGCCACGAGAGGAGCCCCACGAGGACCCGCCAGAGGAACCCCCCCACGACGAGCCACCACCGTAGCCACGACCGCCCGACGATCTGAAGTCGCGCGACGCACCCAGGCGGCCGCCACGACCGCGACCGGGGCCACGAGAGAAGGCGGCTTCACGGGCGATCTTGTTCAAGAACTCGGGAACTTCTTGGTTAGCTTCCAGCAACAATTCAACCATACCCTTGGCAATAGCCTTGTTGTTACGGTTGAAGAAAGCGGTGGCTTCACCGGTGTTACCGGCTCTACCAGTACGACCGATACGGTGGACGTAGTCGTCGATGTCCAGGGGCAAGTCGTAGTTGATAACGTGGGACACGTTGGGAATATCCAAACCACGAGCGGCGACGGCAGTGGCCACAAGGATGGGAGCCGAACCCAGCTTGAATTGGGCCAAAGCCTTTTCACGTTCGTATTGCGAACGGTCACCGTGGATAGCGGTGGCAGGGAAGTTGTGACCGTACAAGTAGTCGGCCAAATTATCAGCCATTCTCTTGGTTTCAGTGAAGATGATGGTCAAACCCTTGTCTTCCGAAGCCAAGATGTCCAAAAGCGCCAGCTTCTTTTCGTCATCTTCGACGTAGATCACCTTTTGGGTGATGTTTTCCGAAGTCGAACCGACACGACCAACCGAAAGGAAAATGTATTCCTTCAAGAAGTCACGGGCCAACATTTGGATGTCACGAGGGAAGGTAGCCGAGAACATGAGGGTTTGACGGTGTTGGACGCCGGGCATGTCACATTCTTGGACGATGTGACGGATTTGGGGTTCGAAACCCATATCCAACATTCTGTCAGCTTCGTCAAGAACGAGGTACTTGATGTTGGCCAACGAGACCTTGCCTCTTTCCAACAAGTCCTTCAAACGACCAGGGGTAGCCACAAGCAAGTCGCAACCGCGTTCGAGTTGACGCATTTGGTTGCCGATTTCGGCACCACCGTAGACGACACAGGGGCGGACCCACGAACGGTAAGCGAACTTCTTGGCTTCCTCGAAGATTTGCGACACCAATTCACGAGTGGGGGCCATCACCAAGATGGTGGGGAAGCACTTGTTAAACGAAAACGAGCCCATGTTTTCGGGGATGGGGGCGGGACCGTTCATGTACGATTCCGACAACACGGGGAACAAGAAACCCCCGGTCTTACCCGAACCGGTTTGAGCACACGCCATCAAGTCCCGGCCAGCAGCAACGATGGGGACCGAGTACTTTTGCACCGGGGTGGGCTTGGTGAAGCGAGCCATCTCGACGTTTTCCACCAACAACGCGTCAAGAGGAGGGTGGGTGAACGAGGTGATGGGCTCGGGAACACCTTCACCAGTGGCTTCGACGGGGATGTCATCGTATTGATCAAAGTTGATCCCCGACGATTGGAACAGCGAGTCGTCGGGGGTACCGAACAACTCAAGTTCAAGACGAGAGTCGCGTTCAGCGGGGATGTGCTTGCCATCTTCCCAGCGACCGACACCGGGACGACGGCCCATGCCGCCGCGGCCACGGCGGGAGCCACCGAAGCCACCGCTTCTCGAGCCAAAGGCGCCGTCAAAGTCACGGCGGCCGCCAAAGCCGCCGGAGGAGGAGCCGCCGCCAAAGCCGCCACGGAGGGGTCTCAGGTCGCCGGCACCTTGGTTTCTTCTGTGAGGCGGAACGTAGCCGCCCTTTTGCGATTCATTGTTGGACATGTTTAAACAGATAACTTTGTCTGGACTTTGAGTTTTTTTTATACGTGCGCAGAGGGAAAATTTTTTCCTTTCGATGGCGTTCCGAGGTCACGTGAAGAAAGCAACGCGGCCTACATTAATACCACAAGTAAGACATTCGGGGCCGAGCCCATCAAAAAGAAGGTTTGAAACCATCGTAGCAAGCAGGAGATGGGTAAATACTTCGATCAGAGTTGATAATATATCTACAGTTTGACGGTTTAGTTTGCCAAGCCTGCTCAGCCTTTCTATTTAAAATTCAGGCACGCGTGAACAGTGGTCATCAGGCGTCTCGATAACACATTCTGGACAGCTCACGCCGAGAAGGTCAAAGAAGCAACGAGCGATCCCCAGCCGGGAGTGCACACAGCCCCATGTTCGAGTATGTGGGCGGAAAAAGAAAAAAGCTTCCGAGAGCTAAAGTTGCTGGCGGGCTGTGACGGGCCAAGGTTCGATTCTCGTCGATGGCGAATGTCGTAAATTGTGTCACGCGAGATTGAGCGATACCGATATCTTCGGATTTCAGCGGGCTCGACCGTGAGAGTGTGGCCCCCGCCTCGTACCCGGACCCCTAGATTGCACCAGATCACACTGTGGTGGGGAAATCTATTTTATGACTAAGACTGCGCCTCGGCCACAAGGGGGCAAAATTCGTAGCTAGCTTTGATCGGCTGGGTGGGCTGGGTCTCCGCCCTCGCACAACCTCAAAGGTTAGTGGAGGAGGGTGGAGGAGCGGCTGCGGCTGCGGGGAACGGGGGTCATGGGTTGAGCGAGGAGTCATCAGTTCCCCACAGTCAGCACTGTCAGTGACGTCTATTTTTACTGGCTGTTTATCGCCCGATATCTGCTGGTGGGTAAACACGTCGTAAACAGCTGGTATCTATGAGCAAATACCCGGCTTAGACCATACCTACCAGGGCTCGATTACCAGAGACAACGTCCGGTTGCGGGGAGTGGGCATTGCTCTAGCCAGCGTCTAACCGAGGCTGGATCCCGGCTTATCTCGTCCCTTGTCCCGAGCGATATCTCCTTCCCGTTATCGCGACCCCCCGGGGCCACCTCGCTCAAGGCCGTTTCGGGGATATACACTTGTGGCTACCGTACTGATAACGCAGTCTGACGTGAGTGACGCCACTGTAGGTGAGACACAGTATTGCAGTGACCCCCTTTTTGTCGAGTAAAACCGTAGACAACTCTGTAGAATAGTCTGACAAATGCTAAATCCCCTAGTTAATTATCATTGAATCCCCCGCGGTCGTCGCCCAATGTCGTTGCCGAGTGTCGCTGCCCCTCTTTCCTACCCCAGGCTGCCATCGGTTGCCACCCGCACCCGCCCCTGCACACACCCCTAGCCCCAGTCGCCACCGAGCTATATAAACCGCAACCATTGCCCTTACCAAAATTTGTTTGTCCCTAATGAAACTCTCCCACTCAATTGCCCTCTCTCTCGTGGCCGCCCTCGGCGCCCACGGCCTCGTCATCCCCCAGGGGAGCGACGTCATCGACGTCTTCCACCACGGCGCCGACCTCTTGCACAAGGGGGCGGAACAGGTGCTCGCCATCACCGGGTCGCTGGCGAACTCGGTTGACGGCGTCGCTCCGTTGGTCGAAGCTCCCCGCAACATCGTCCCCCACAAGTACATGGTGGTGTTCAAGTCCGACGTCACCGTCGACGACATTGCCTCCCACATGCTGTGGGTGATGGCTCAAAACTTGGAAACCGTCCAAGGCTACGACCCCACGCACTCGTTCTTCGCTGCCACTCAAGAGCAAAAGGAATGGAACCACCCGGAACCGTTCCAGGTCGCCGGTGCCCTCACCGGTTACGCTGGCTACATTGCTGACGAAGTCGTGGAACAGGTCCGCAAGCTGCCGCTTGTCGAGTTTGTCGAACGTGACTCGATGGTGTACGCTTCGGAATTCGACACCGAAAAGGGTGCCCCCTGGGGTTTGGCGAGAATCTCGCACCGCAAGCCGTTGTCGTTGGGCAACTTTAACGAGTACCTCTACGACAACGAAGGTGGTGAGGGTGTCACCGCCTACGTCATCGACACCGGTATCCAAGTCTCCCACGAGGAGTTTCAGGGCCGCGCCAAGTGGGGGAAGACCATCCCCAACGGCGACTACGATGAAGACGGTAACGGCCACGGTACCCACTGTGCCGGTACCATTGCCCTGAAGTCGTACGGGGTCGCCAAGAAGGCCGACGTCGTCGCGGTGAAGGTGTTGAGATCGAACGGGTCGGGTACCATGTCCGACGTCGTCAAGGGGGTCGAATTCGCCGCCAACTCGCACCAAAAGGCTGTTTCCGACGGCAAGAAGGGGTTCAAGGGCTCCACCGCCAACATGTCCCTCGGTGGTGGCAAGCTGCCTGCCCTCGACTTGGCGGTGAACGCTGCTGTGAGAGCTGGTCTCCACTTTGCCGTCGCCGCTGGTAACGAAAACCAGGACGCCTGCAACACCTCGCCCGCCGCCGCTGAAAACGCCATCACCGTCGGTGCCTCGACCATCTCCGACGCTCGTGCTTACTTCTCCAACTACGGTAAGTGTGTCGACATTTTCGCCCCCGGGTTGAACATTTTGTCGACCTACATCGGTTCTGACCGTTCCACCGCCACTTTGTCGGGTACCTCGATGGCGTCGCCCCACGTCGCTGGGTTGTTGTCGTACTTCTTGTCGTTGCAACCCGACGCCAAGTCGGAATTCTTCGTTGCCGCCGACGGTGTCACTCCTAAGCAATTGAAGAAGAACTTGATCACCTACGGGTCGAAGAACTTGTTGCTGGACATCCCCAACGATGGCACTCCCAACATCTTGGTGTTCAACGGTGGCCACCACGGGTTGAAGGACTTCTGGGGTGACAAGCCCAAGGAAGAAGAATCTGCCACCGACAAGATCACCGCCGTCGAACAAAAGATCTCCGAGTTGTTCGAAGACTTGAAGGCTGGCTTGTTCTGATGCGATATGATAGAAAATGATAACGACCGATAACTTAAATATTTGTAAACCATAAACGAAAGAGTTTGATCTTGCATTATATTAGCCAGTAGTCAGTATGTTTACGACTAGAACAATACGCGTCATGTCGTTAGATGAATTGTATTTAATTATTCAAAATGGAATTGGACAAGTTCCTCAGGGATGTGTGGGTGCATCATAAAAAATTTGTGGATCTCCCTCTGTATCCTGTAATTGTAAATAGCGTCGGCTGTGAAAAGGTGGTCTTCGTGATCGTGATAATAGTATTCTTCAGGGCCGACGGCTAAATGTTTTGCATTAATTGCCTCTCTTTCAAGCGAGCGTTCACGTTCAATATCTTCGACCTTTATCAATAATTCGACAAAAGTGATATTGTCCTGAATACTAAGCAGCCGACGTAGTGACAAGTATTCCAGTAGTTTTTCGTCTTCGCGATCGTCAATATCTTCCCAAGAGTGTGGGCCTCGTGTTGGCACTAGATTTTCGATTAAAAGCATGAGTTGATTTAATGCTTACGGAGTTCATTTCATATATATATAATTCGATTGTGGAAGTGGCGCAGTTAACACTCCACCTATTCATTTCATGGTAAATGCTTTGAAACACCCACAATCATGAAGTGGACTCATGCATCAGGTGTGACATGAACTGCGACCAAATAACGTAAAGTTCAAAGATACTAAAGTTAGACATTCGTACGTTCTTATGCTTTACATTTGGAAATGGTAGGGTAATTCTCAATATACTGGAAAGAATAGTTCAACCGACATCGGGTAAGTGGCAAAGACACGAATGGCCTGATTGAATTTTTGGTCTGCTGTAGTTTACATGGCTTCGGTAAGGATCGACTTGCCCCTGGACGATGGTCATTAACAGACCAAACATGACATAGCATACTCTGGATCAACAAAATATTGACACTATATAACACGACAACTTCAATCATAAATCCATCACTACCACAAAACAATGACTAAGGGTCAAGTTCAAAAAGTCCACAGCATCCAGTATGCTACCAACAACACCAAGGCCGCCGCTCTCTGGTTCCAAGAACGCTTCGGCTTCGTCGAAGTTGCCGAACGTACGATGGAGCTGGGCGCTCGCATGGTGTGTGCCCGCGTGCTCAGATCAGGGGACATTGTCCTTGAGTTGATTAGTCCGTTGGTGTCGCTTTCTGATGCCGAGATCGACTCGGTGTTGGCGAAACAGCAGTCGCCCGAGCTCAAGCAGAAGCTCGCTCAAGTGTACGGTGGACCTCCCTTGAGTGAGGTTATCGAGTGCTGCCTTGTGCAACGATACTTGAGATGCCACAACGACGGCGTGTTTGGCATCCGTTTTGTTGTCGACAGCGTGGCCCAATGTATGGACCAAGCTCAGCTTGATTGCTCGGTGGTGATGGACACCATCACTAATGCTGAAGTGACGATGGGGTCGGTGATGATTCCCAGAATCGACTTGCTCCACACGTTTGTGGAATTGAACGGCTTTGGTGGTTATCTTCCTGGTTTCACCATGGTTGACTGTGACAACAAGGCTAAGTTTTTGGTGGAGCGGGTCGACCACATCGTCCAGAACTACACCTACAACCAGATCGAGCGCCAGGCGAAGATTTATATCAACTCGTTTGGCTTCCACCGGTTCTGGTCGGTGGACGAGAACGATATCAGTACCGCCAACACTGCCCTTCGCTCAGTAGTGGTCGCGTTACCCGACGAGCTGCTCAAAATGCCGCTTAACGAGCCTGTCACCAGCCACTACCGCGGCCAGATTGAGGAGTTTTACGACTATTTCGGCGGTGCTGGCGTGCAACACATTGCCTTTTCCACCGACGACATCATCGCCACTGTCTCTCAGCTTAAACTGCGCGGAGTTGAATTCAACACTATTGGCGGCGAGTACTACCAGAACTTGCGCCAGCGGTTCATTGACGACGACGTCGACCTTGGTATCGACTTGGCCAAGCTTGAGAAGCTCCACATCTTGGTCGATTACGACGTGGGGTCCCGTAACCCTCAGCTGAAGGCGTGCGACTATCTTCTCCAAATCTTTACTCAGCCCGTGGTGGACCGGCCCACACTTTTCTTTGAAATCATCCAGCGTCGGGGCCACAATGGGTTTGGTAAGGGCACGTTCAAAGGGTTGTTTGAAACGATCGAACGCCAGCAGCAGTTGAGAGGCACCTTAAGCAGAGTTGACTAAACCAGCGCGAGCACGGCGCGAACCGCTCCCGGTTAAGCCTCCCCCGCGAAACTGGCGAGGGCAGCTTTTAGCATCGAGCAATAAGCTTCGCTGCACCTGTCCCCCGCCAATTCGCCTGAATCTAATTATCCGACTAATTATCCGACTAATTATCCGACTAATTATCCGACTAAATGTAATTCACTGTACAAACGGTAGACCTATCTTGGCATGCAGCCATCGTAATTTGTGTCACTTTTGAGTATAGCCTTGGCTGTTGGTTGCGCCAAAGCGCTGTTTTGATGCACCGTTACCGCGCCTGCATCAAGGTAACGGGGTGCCTTTGCGATCGCAACCTGGGCACCAGAGGAGGTGGCAACATCGGTAATTAATCCTCGATGACAAGTGTAAAACATAATTCCAACAACATATACTCATTGTGATTCAATCACGCTTCTCATTACTTTCTTCTCCTTGTCTTTAACCCCGAAAATCGCCCCTCTCGTTCCCCTCACCTAGCAACCGCATCAGGTTCACACCGGAGCCAAGAGCGCGGACAAATCACACTCACTACTCACGCCCTCGTGCCGCCCCCCGGTGATTGCCAATGCTCTTCAAGAAGTCAGGCAAGCAGAAACTGCCCCCAGCTACCGACAGCGTGCTGCGGCAAGGCCTGGTGAAGCTGGTGAAGCTGGAGAAGGCTGGGTTGTCGCCGGTGCTGCTGATCTCGCTGAGGTTCAAGCTCGACGACGCGGTGCCCCCAGTGGCGCAGGTGCTTTCGCGGCTGCCTCCCGATAAGTTCGAAGTCAGAGTGACTGAACCCGAGCTTGCGTCGCCGCCGTCGTCGCTGGTGTCGCCGTCCGATGGCCTCAAAGCGCCCAAGCTCAAAAAACGCATTTCCACCATTGTCGAGGACCACGACTCCCTGGCGTACCTGGACGATACTGACCTGGTGCTGGAGTCCGACTCAGATGATTCTGAAGAGGACGATAGCGGCCTGGATCGCGAGGAAGACCACCGTCACGTCGTGCGCATGTTCTGTGTTTCAGCGGGCAGAACTCGCCTGATCCTGGCGACCAAAGCTGCTAACGAAGAGGCTCAGCACCTGTACAGTTTGCTCGGTGAGCTGCTTAAGATCCACCCGTTTCTGACACACTTTAACCACTACGAACTGGTGATTGATGAACACCAGTTGAAAGTGCTTAATGAACTCAAGAAACGCTTGGAAAACCTGTGTCTGGGTGAAATCCCCCCTAACTGTCGCAATAAGACCCTCTACCTGCGCTACGGCTTGGTTACTGACGTCATTGGTCGCGGGGCTTACGGTACCATCAAAGTGATTGATCCTAATATTAAAACCCGCCGTGATCTCTATGAAGGCGGCTACTACGCCGTTAAAGAACTTGTTCGTCGTAAAGATGAGCTGACTCCCAAATACGCCGACCGAGTGATTCTGGAGTTCATCTGTGCTTGTCGTCTCAGCAACAAACACATCCTGAAATATGTCGATCTTATGGTGTATCAGCTGAAGAAGGGAACAATATTACTGGCAGTGATGGAGTTGCTGACGGGTGGAGACTTGTTCCACTACTTGACCATGGCCAGACTGCGAAACTATGCTCCCATCGCTTATATGCTGTTGGAGGAAATTGACTGTTTCGTCAAGCAGATCGCCAAGGGGTTATTCTACATGCATCAACACGGGGTCGCCCATTGTGACCTAAAGTTGGAGAATATTTTGGTTCATTATCGCGACTTTGAAGGTGATAATGCTAAAGTTACGCTTAAGCTTGGTGATTTTGGCCAGGCTCAAGTCACCCGGACGCTGTGGGAGACTCACGAACAATTGTATTTACTGACCAACGGCCCCATTGGCTCTGAGCCCTATATGGCACCCGAAGAACATAAAAAGGATGCTAATTATTCTTACTCATTGCTCAAGAAGGACAACTGGTCGCTCGGGGTTATTGCCCTCATCATGTTCCACATTCGCCGCATGTACTATCCTGGCCTTCCTAATCGTGAAGCTCCCGTCGATGAGGAAGGGACACTTTTGGGAACCTGTCCAGTGTACGTGTGGCTGCTGACAGCGAATAGAGTGTCCACTCTCACCGGCCACTTGAAACCGAAAGACCGCAATTTCGCGGAGTACTTGGCGAAGCGGATGGTCGCTGACTACGACACCCACACTAAGGAGTGGCTCGTGAAGCGAGCGGGGGCGTTCGACGTCATTGAAAACTTATTCAAGACCGGCGGCGGTCTGGAGGAACTGATATCGCTGGGCCGCGACATCGACGAGTTAGGCGAGATCCGACGGTACTGCTTGTATAAGTTATTGGACCCGGAGCCGTCGACGCGGATGACGGCAGGCATGCTTCTCAAGAGTGACTGGTTGACTTCAGTCGACTCTTGCTAATTAAAATAATGATATATCACGGCTAGGCACGGTATCCGTGCCATCTAATCAACCTGTACACTAAATCACGGCTACCCACAAAACCATAGCGGAATTCCATTGATGACAATTTAAAAGTCTCTGAACGTTTATTTCCTCCTGAATATGACTAGACCAACTTTATATACTTCCTTCTTTGGCTACTATCACGGCGTTGCCATCGCAATGTGGTGGTTTCCAGGTGGTGCTCCAGCTCCTGCATTCAGCCGCTTATGGCGCGGTTCACAAAAAAAAAACACGCTAGCGGTTGGTACCTATTAGCTAAGCGGTGACAAACGACCGCACCGCCTGGGTGGACTTTATACGCATTATCCACCACCCTCCGAAGCGACCATCACATACCCCACGAGCCTCGATGTCAGAAGCTCTGGGGTATCTGACGAGCCTGATCAACCTGGAGCGGGCGCTGCAGCACGCCCTGGTGGTCCTGCTTCGCCTGGGGGCGCTGCTCCGCCAGGCAGCCGCCCTGCTACGGCTGGGGGCGCCCATACGCCGCAACGTCACCGTGTACGAACCCAACTACTACGAAAACAAATTCACGTTATTCAACATCCCCCGCCGCGTGTTTGCCTGGATCTATTCGATCTCGCTCGTCGCCCTCACCATCCTCGGGTTTTTGTTCGTTGCTGTCACCCCCATCGATGTCATCGTGCAAACGGCGGGGCTGGCGTTGCTGGGGTTGAAGATGTTCATCGTGATTATTGTGTGGGTGGTGTTTTTGGTGGTGCTGATCTTATTCTATTTCAGTCGCTTGCTCCAGGCCCGCACTGCCCTCAACGATGTGCCCGTGAAACTGGTGTATATCCCCAGTCAGGGGGACTACCCTCACGACGTGTACCTTCATATCGATGATGATCTTCGTCAGTGTGTCGAGATTGGCCAGCAGGCCGGTCCCCTTAGCGACGAGTCCATCATTATTAACCATCCTGGTCTCTCGCCACCCGAGTACGTGCAAAGCCGCAACTTGACGGTACTCAAGTCTAAAGGCATCGAACTGACAGAGGAAGTGGCTCGGTTGAACCCAGCCACTTTACTCCCGCCAGACTCGCTGTATGAAGACATCATCCGCAGTGTCAGTGATAAATTCGTCACTCAGCGATACCGGGTGTTCACCCTGATCGATATCCCCGGTAACTATACCTTCCGAGAAATCTGTATCTATTTGGCTCGCGTGTATGCCGACAACTATAAGGCTAATGAGCACAAGTTGACGCGGATCATTCACCTCTACGAGAAGTTTCGTTTCGGTGGTCTGCTTATCAGCGACCACGAGCTCATCGAGTTTATGATCGAGTTTGATCGACTAGCCCAAGTGTGCCAGCTGGACTACAACCATGTGGTTCAGGCCGATAACAGCAGGGACGAGTTGCATTTGCGAGCACAACACCTAGATCGGCTTGACCCGGGCCATCTGCGTCGCGAATGGTCCGACTACGACCTGATGATCGACTGGCACGAATACCCGGGACGAGACAACCGCTACGAAGACGACCACTACCACCACACCCCCATCGACGAGCAGTTTTATGAGCAGGTTCTCGAAAGCGACTCGATCGTCCAGCAGCTGGCGTCGCCGCTGCGGCGGGTGCTGCGGCTGTTTGACCGGCTCATGGTCCCCCACGCGTCACTGACGTCGTTGCACTGGTTCCACCGAAATAGTCTGAGTTCCAGTGTGCGGCTGGTGATCCGGCTGAAGCTCGCGTTGCTGAAGCCCAGCGTCCACGAGGATGACCGGGGCAGTGTGATCGAGCGTATTCTGTCGATGATGCTGATCCAGCGGAAGTATAGTGGCTACGTCACTGACCTGGAGAGACTGGAAGATGAATGATGATGATACCCGTGCGCCCCTTTGATACCTGATAGAAGCACCGTAATACACTAATTCACAATTAAACTACACGTATTATCTATTGTCAGTTTTAGGCTAATAATTGCGACAAGGAAACCAAACTAAGGAGTTTAATCATGACCGTCATATCACAATAATTTCCTTTCATTAATAGGTCATGTCTTATCTCCTATCGAGGGTGATTTTTCCTTTCTTTTTTTTTTAGACACTACTCGGCTGTGTCTGACCTTCGTGAGGCTGTATTTTTCGGCTGTAATTTTCGGCTATACTTTAGCTACCCTTGTAACCATTCTTCGCGGAGTGCGCCTTACGTCATAGGTGTTTGCCAGCAGCAGCACTCACCATACATATCTGGATGCAGTGCGAACATTGCTCACATTTGCTCACACCCATTCCATTGCCAGAATAAACCTGATACCTACCCATGTTTGAGCTGTTGGTGGCAAACTTGCTCAACCGGGTGCTCGGGCTGTATGTCGAGAACTTCGACCTGCGGCAGCTCAACATCGGCATCTGGCTGGGGGCGGTCACCCTCAAGCACCTCCAGCTTAAGCGCGAGCTGTTGGACCAATTGGGCCTCCCCGTCGACGTCGTGTTTGGCGAGCTCGAGGAGTTGCTGCTTGTCATTCCCTGGCTGAACTTGAAGCTGAAACCCGTCCAGATCAGCGTCAATGGCCTCTATCTTCTTGCCGTCCCCACCGCCACCAAAGCCTACGACGAGGCCGAGGCGAGACGCAGAGAACTCGCCGTCAAACGACAGAAAATCGACCAATTGGACGTGTTGGAACAGGACCAAACCACCACCACCAATAACAACGAGGACGGCGGCGGGTTTGCCGCACTGCTTATCACCAAGATCATCGATAACCTCCAGATCACGATTAAGAATATTTACTTGCGGTATGAAGATACTGAAGGTCAAGGGTTAGCCGAAGACCCTTACGCATTCGGGGTGCTGCTTGCTGAGCTCTCGGCGGTGCTGACGGATGAGCTGTGGACCCCTCTGTTCATCGCTATCACTCGGGAATTTACCCGCAAATTGCTTACCCTTAGCCAGCTTAGTTGCTACATGGATACTGGTGCTGAGCTGGTACTTCTGGATCTGGCCGACGTCACTAAGTCCAAATTCACCGATAGTGACGACCGCCAGTATTTGCTTAAACCGGTGCTGGGCCAAGGTAAACTCACCGTACACAAGGGCGGCGCCACTGCCACTGTACCCCACATCGATGCCGACGTCGACTTTGAAGAGTTTGGCCTTACATTGGATGATCGCCAGTATCACGACATATTATGGACGGTGCTGAAATTTGAGTGGTACCAACGCACACTGAAGTACCGCAAGTTTAGACCCCAGACGAAAGTCAGTGATGACCCTAAAGGTTGGTTCCAGTACGCTGCTAAAGCGGTACTTGATGAGATTCACACCCGTAACAATCAGTGGACATGGGCCCATTTCAAGAAGCGGAGAGATCAGCGGCAGTCATACATTGAAAAGTATATCGCCAAACTCTGTGGTGAACCTGTACAAGGTCTCGAGGAGCTTGAAGACGATCTCCTGCTTGACGACATCAAGTGGTACCGGTCATTAGCTCGCGATGAGATGAAGCGCACGGGGAAGAAACCCAAGCCTCCCACAGAAAACCAGCAGCAGCAGCTGAAAGGATGGTTTGGCGGCTGGTTTGGTGGCAGCGCCCCCTCAAATACCCAGGTTCCCGGTGAATTTGGCCTCACAGACGAACAAAGAGACGCGTTGTACGATACCATCGACTATAAACAGGATGTCACTCCCTACGGTGGCGACGACGACTGGATCAAGTGGGTATTAGCAGCTAACTTGACTCGAGGCGGCATTGCCATTTCCCGAGAGGCCATGATAGGCGAGATGGTGTTCGAAGGGTGTCTGATCAACGTGCTGCTGCTGGAGGCCACCACCAAAGCTAAGTTCGATTTGCATGAGTTTAGAGTTGAGGACGGCACGGGAACGCTGATCTACCGCCACATCGTTCTGGTACACGATGTCCAGGATGGGGCTGAGTGTGAAGTGGACGAGGACCCTTTTCTCTCCGTGAGCTACGCCTCCAACCCTAAGGCCGTTGGCTGTGACTTAAAGCTGATGACAATCTTTTACAATCCTCAGTTCATCGACGAGATCATCAAGTTTTTCACTCCTCCAAAGATCCACTTAGATACCATTGGCGCCATCATGAGTGCTGCTCGTGACGGTGGTGGCGAATTGCTCAATCAAATGACTCGTATTGGGCTCGAGTACGCGTTGGACGAACACGAAACCGTCAATGTGGCATTGGACTTACAGGCGCCGCTCATCATTTGTCCCTTGGACCCGCTGCTGTACGACCTGGCGGTAGCTATCATCGATGCTGGTCATTTACGAGTGACGCTGGTTCCTGGTGATAAAGACAAACTTGAGGAGATTCGTGGTAAGAAGGATTATGGCGACGCTGATTGGAATGCTCTCAAGAAACTCATGTACGACCGGTACCGCTTAGAGCTTACTGACGCTCAATTCTGTGTCGGCCCCGATATTCGCCAGACCATGGCTACTCTTCACCAGCCAGGCCCTAACCCTAGTGCCATTCTTGAACGGTTCGACTTGAATCTTGGTCTTGGAGTGCTGATTCTACCTGAAGCTCCTCAGTTGGCTAAAGTGACTTTAGATGGGGAGATTCAACAAATCAAGTTGACGATGAACGACTGGCAGTATAAGACGTTGATGGAGATCATTGATCGGGCTATCCCCGCTGACGATGATTTACTGGCTAAGAAGGCTGCTGCTGTTGCTATCAAAGACGAGACCAATAATAGCAATGCTAATGGGAGTGACTCCAAGGCTGTCAGCTCGTATCAAGTGGACAAAAACCAGCACGTGTTTGAGCTCTCGCTTGTGGCCCACGACATCGAGATCCAGTTAGGCCGCTGTACCGACCCGGCAACGATGCTGGCCATTGACTTTGCCGACTTGATTGGGAAGGACTTGAAAGTGAACATTTGGAATCTGGCGGCCCAAATCCACGTTGATGTCAACCTCCAAAATCTCAAGGCCCACCAGGGGAAAACCACGTTGATTCTGGGGCTTGTGGATGCTAACAACACTGACCCTCTTCTCGTGGTTGACTACAACAGAATCCTTAGAATTGCTCCCTGGCAGGGACGCGACATTGATGTGTGGGATCAGAATATTGAGGTAGATATTTCTGTTGTGCAATTTGTGGTGCTTCGAGCGGCGTGGCTTCTGGTGCTTAACTTCATCCAAAATACCTTTGTTAACCCCAATGCTCCTCCATTACCATCGGATGAGTTAGCACATAATCTGGTGGACGATGAAGAAGCCGCCCCTGCCAAGATCAATCTTTCGGTGAACTTCAATCGCATTTTGACAGACTTCGTTGAAGATACTGGTGGCGTGGTAGGCTCCCTTAAATTGCTGAGAGCTGCTATCCAAATGCTTATTCTCCCTGAAGCGCTGAAAATGAAGGGTAATTTGGGTAAGCTTGTATTGGAAGAAGGAGAACACCTGCGAGAACTTCTTTCGATGGACGACGAGAATCTTGTCGAGTTCCGCTACGAACTGTTCGACCCTACCACCAATAAGCGTGATTATATTGCTGATCTTGAGGTGAAAACGGGAGCAATTCTGGTGATGTTTATTGAACTGCTGTTGGTGGCATTAACCACTTACTTCGCTCAATTTGGTCGCATGAAGGAAGTGTACGATAAAGCTAGAGATAATGTACCTAAGCCTGAAGGTGATCTCAAGTTTGATATTGTTGTCAACGCTCCTACAGTGGTATTCCCAAAATTGCGCGATCTGGCTACTGTCAAATTAGGGCAGTTTTATGCTAAGAACCGGTTTGAAGATGGTCACAATTTGATCAATGCTGGTGTACGCGATTCCCTGGTTTCCACTCACTTTGTGTTTGAACAGTGTACTCAAAATTTGATGGTGTTGGAAAACTTGGACATCGCCTTTGATGTTGACTACCACCCTTCAGGAATTGTCATTAAGGGTACTACACCCGGTATTGATTTGACGCTTACGGAACTCCAAGCCCGTTATTTCTACTACATTTCTCAAGCTGTGCAACAAGTGATTGGTGACGAAGTGGCGGTGGCCCCAATTCTGGCAGAGGAGATTGAGTTTGAAGCTGCCAATGCTCGTGCAGTGGGTGGTACTGAACCTGCGCCGATCTCAGAAGTGATCCCAGAAGAAACTGCTACTGATGTCGCCAAGGATGAAGACCCTAAACCCACTCCCTACTCGGTGATTTTAAGCATCCCTAAGGCTCTGCTTTCGCTTTACGATAACACTGAGGCTCAAGAACTGATCCAGCTGTGTCACCTTGGTGCCATTTCGTTTACCGAGTTCTCCACAGAGGTCAATCTGAAGGATGGTATTGATTGGCAGAGTCACATCACCGTGAAGCTGTTCCTGATCAAGGATACGAGAAAGGGCCCCTCTTGTTTCACCGAAATTATTCCTCCCACCATTGGCGATGATAAGGACCAATTTCTGGTGCAAGTGGCTAAAGAAGGTCGCCAGCTTACAGTGATTTCGACTGTGGACCAACCTAAGCTTATCATATCATTGGAGTGGGTGTTTGCGATTCAGAAATGGTACCAAAAGACCTCGGAAACTCACCGCATTGATGGCGGTAGACGTCGCAGTTCTGCTCCTCGTCGTCTTAGTACTCAACTGGATCGCCGTCAAAGTGTTTTGGGCGGAGCTCAACGAAGACCGCTGATGACTGCGGCCCACCCGCCGAGTCTCCAGGCTGTTCCACACCAGCAAAAGCCTCACGAAGAACCTCCCACGATTGTTGGCCTCAATATTAATGTGCTTTTACCACAAATTGTTCTCTTAGCTGACCCTACTAAGACTAATCTGTTAGCCTTAGTCTTTAAAGTGGAACAGTTGCTCGTTACTCAGCAACATACACTTAACGTGGCCGCCAACAATATTGGGCTCTACTTGGCGCTGATGGACCAGCCTGATAACATGAACTACCGCATCATCGATGACTTCCTGGCGCTGTTCAGCTACAACCAGGGCCAACTGAATGCCTCGCATTTGATGACAAACATGCACTTACTGGTGGACCCGATGCTTATCAAAGTGTCGGTGAAGGATATTCGTCTTGCGATGACGGTCTTGGAAAGTGCGCGGGCAATGATGGACGATGGCAGCGGTGCTCTGACTGCCGAAGCAGCTGACGATGAATCGGTAACGGGGTCTGAGCTGGATGTAGCTACTATCATTACCAATTTGCTTCCTGACAACAACAGTGACAAGGTGGTGATCAACGGCGAGGAGGTGACGGCTCTGTTTGGCGGTATCCGCTTCCTCTTGATTGGTGATGTCCACGAATTACCAGTAATCGACGGTCACATTGAATCGTTTGAAGCGAAGGCCACCAACTGGCTGCTGAACTTAGCCGCGGAAGCTCACCTCAAGCTGTGTATTAATGTGCTTAACTACTCGCAGCTGCTGTGGGAGCCGCTCATTGAGCCGTGGTCGCTTGGAGTATACTTGACGCGGCCGGAACACACGTTGCTTGTCGACGTGGTGCTGCGTAATACCGCGGAAGTGACGGTGACTCTGAGAACTGTGGCGCTTTTGTCGCAAATCCAGCTGTTGATTACTAATGTCGATGAACCATTGAAGCCTAGAGGTGAAGATAAGCCATATTTGTTGGTCAACCATACCGGTGATCCCATTACCGTCAAGGGGGCTGACAAAGAGCTTACTGTTGAACCATGGGCGGAGGAGCAGTGGGCGTTTGAAGATTGGATTGAGGTACGGCAGCAGACGCCACAGAGACTGATTAATCCTGAATTGGAAGTTAAGTTTGGTGACTTCGAAGAGTTGACCGTCTCCTTACGGGGTGAAGGGAATGATATCTATACCCTTGAGCCTGAACGGGACGGCACTCATCTGAGACTCGTATGTGAGCTTGCCTTGCGTCCTGATAACGTCAAGAAGGTCATTTTCCACAGTACGATAACCATCACCAACGCTCTGGATCGGGGCCTTAAAGTGTTATGCGATGGCCACGAAGTGTCTTTGCCGTCATCCGAACAAATTTCAATCCCTATTTCTCTCGTCAAGCTGGGGCTGTGGCAGATCGCTCCTGATGATGATAACTACCGGTACCTGAGCACCAATCTTCTGTGGACTACACTTAAAGAAAATACTCAGCAGGTTATTGAGTGTGACCCCATCTCGTCAGACCACCAGCCGATGTATTTCTTTGTCGATGCCAAGTACGACCCCATGGAACCGTTGGCACAAGTGTACCCTCACATGTCGATCATCGTATCTCTGCCACTTGAGGTAGAAAACTTGTTACCGGTGTCTTGCAAGTACACTCTCTATGACAAGTCTACTGGTCAGTCATGGAAGGGATCTATTGACAAGGGCAAGATTGGCTATTTTGATGTCGCCAATACCAAAACGGCTAAATTATGGTTATCTGTGGAACCTCAAGATTACCCTGAGCTGGAGTTTGTCGCTGTTGGTGACCACGATGCTCGTATGGGAATCAACGTTGATGGTAATCGTTTGGATCTTGGGTTGCACCACCACGATACTGCTAACATGAAGGTGTCGGTGTATGCTCCCTACGTCATTCTTAACCAAACGATGGTTGATCTTGAAATCAGTGATAGCCAGGCCACTTCTTTGTTCATCCTGGCCTGGCGTCGCGAACTGCCGCTTTTATACAGCTACCCCAACGGTGGCGATAATAAATCTCGTTCGATAATTCGGGCGGGAGATACGGCGTGGACGGAACCGATTTCGTTCGAACTGGCGGGTCAGGCAGTGGTGGCCACCGCTCGTGTCCAAGGAAAACAACTGGAGCGTAATTTCGCTGTCTCTGTTGACTACGGTTTAGGGATCTATCATCACACCAAGGTGGTGACAATCACTCCGAGATACGTGGTGTGCAGTCGCTACCCTGAACCACTTCAGCTCATGGAACAAGGACGAGTCAATCTGTCGACAATCATGCCCAATCAAGAGTGGCCCCTCTACCACTTGCATTGCTCGATGACGAAGCTCATCCTGCTTTCGTTGGCTAATCAACAGTGGCTGCTGCCGTTTGCTCTCGACGATGTAGGGCAATTTACCGTGAAAGTTGTTCATCCTGGGAACTACCAAGTGCTCGTTAAGGTGACATCTCGTGTTGAAGGGGCTACCATGTTCATCACTCTTGAGCCGCTGACGTTGTGGCCGTTTTCGTTCCGCAACTACACCGACTACACCTTCTACTTGTACCAAACCAACCCCAACACCAATGAGAACGGGGAGGTGGTGAAGAATGATACCGTATACAAGCCAATCTACTATAAGCTTCCTCCGAAGCTGGTGATGCCATACGCGTACGACTACCCTAATGCCATCATTAAGGAAGTGGCGGTGCGCTCAGGTGACCACGAACGGCTGGTTAACTTATCCGAAATTGGACCGTTGTCTCCGTTCCGTTTGGGCGATGACAGCGTCGACATGGACGTGATTGCTGATGGACCCACGACAACATTCTCCATCAGACCACCACAAGACCGCAACCTTGAAGATGAAGACAAACAAGATGAGGAGCTGACAATGATTAAAGTGGTGGCTAAATTTGAAGGGGTGGGCATTTCATTGATTAACCTGTACCGAGCGCAAGAGATTTGCTACATCACCTATAAGGGGCTTGAGCTTCGCTACAATGAGCTGGACCGTTTGCAAACGTTCAGTGTCAAGCTCAAATGGATCCAAGTGGATAATCAGTTGTACGGGGGCGTGTTCCCCATTGTGGTGTACCCTCTGGTGATTCCCAAACTGGGTCGCGAAATCAACCAACACCCCCTGCTTTCAGGGCTGATTTCGAGAGTGAAAGATCTGCCAGAACTGGACGTGGTGCTGGGGGTCACCTTTATTAAGTATGCTACGATTCTCCTTCAAGAGTTGCTGATTGAGATCGATGAAGATTTCTTGATGGCCCTCCTTGACTTTGCCAAGGTTCCAGGCGCTCTGTGGTCTAACCAAGAGGCAATTGAGCTGTGGGGTCCTCGGCCTCCTCTCCCCAAACCCAAGGACTTGGGGTCGCTGCTGCTTGACGTTTACTTCGAGGCGTTGCACTTACAACCAGTACAACTCAACTTATCGTTCATGCGTACTGAAAGAGTAAACACCGAAGGCGACGACGACACTGCTGCCCATACTACGTCTACGCTTATGTTCTTGTTCAACGTGTTGACTATGGCGGTGGGTAATGTCAATGATGCTCCCATCAAGCTTAACGCTCTCTTCATTGAAAACTTGAGACTGCTGCCAGCGCTTTTGACAGATCTGATCTCCAATCACTACGCCCAACTGTTCTTCTACCAAGTGCACAAGATCTTGGGTAGTGCTGACTTTTTGGGTAACCCTGTGGGTCTTTTCAACCAGTTGCTGCTGGGGGTGATGGATATCTTTTACGAACCGTACCAAGGGTTTATTGTTAACGATAGACCTCAAGAAATCGGTATTGGCTTAGCTAAAGGTGGGTTGCTGTTCATGAAGAAACTGGTGTACGGGATCTCTGATTCGGTGGCTAAAGTCACTGGTTCCATCGCTAAGGGTTTACTGGCGGCTACTATGGATAGCGACTTCCAGGAACTGCGCCGCAAATACTTGAGACGCAATCGTCCCAAACACGCGTTGTATGGGTTTGGTCTGGGTGTGGAACTGTTGTTTGACCTGGTGAGTCTGGGTCTTGCCGGTATCGCCACTGCTCCGATTGAAGGCGCTGAAAGAGAGGGTGCTGTTGGTTTCTTCAAAGGTATCGGCAAGGGCATGATCGGTTTACCCACTAAGACAGCCATTGGTGTGTTTGATTTTGCTCTGAATTTCAGTGAAGGCATTCGTAACACCACCACCGTTTTTGAAAGTGAAGGGCTTGATAAAGTGAGAATGCCCCGTTACATTGCTCCCAATGCTCCTGTCGCCCCCTTCTCTCCTGGTCAAGCACAGGGTCAATACTGGCTCAAAAACATCGATCTGGGGTCATACATTTCCCTGGTCTATGTCGCTCACTTGACACTCACTGGCACTGATATGTGTGTGCTTGTCACCTACAGCGAGATCATCGTGTTTGACATGAGTACTTTACAACTGAAAAAGGACGTGCTGTACGACCGGTTGACGGAGGTACTGAAGGAACACCTGGGCATTGACCTCAAACTGCAAGGAAGAAGCGAACTTTTTGTTCCCGTCAGTGATAAGGGTTTGAGAGATTGGCTTTACGGCAAAATTGGCATGGCCGTCGCTGACTACAACACGAAGTTCCGCGTAGAGCCTTAATCAGGCGATGATACAAATGTAATAAACGAAGATTATTTCTAGAAGCTTTCTCTATGTATTTTCCATTAGTCGTAAGCGTAACTATATCCCCCCTTTAAACCTCACAAAATCCCTATCCCATCTATTCCTGGAAGTTCCACACCCCATCACCCAAAAACGTCAACAATTCAATGCCAATGCCCTTGTTCTTTTCCTTGATGTCGTTGGTGCTCATCAACAACTTGCCCAACGCCAACGCGTTCGTCTTGCCCTCGGCGTTGACGACGACCACGGTACCTTCCTCGAGGTTTTCCTCGGGCAACGCCGCCCCCGGCGAAGTCAAACCGGGACACATGATGTTAGCCCCCGACAACACGAACTTGATGGCGCCTCTGTCGACCTTGACGCTGGGGAAGCAATCGGCCCACTTGTGGACCAAGCGGAGCGACGGGTAGAGCTCGTCGAACTTGCCGAACGCCACCACCTCGCCGTCCATGAGGTACACCGAGATCTTGTCCTCGCACTTCACCTGGACAATGGTGGCCTTTTTGGGGATGACCTCGTCAATCACCGGCTCCAACCCGGGGAACTGGTCCACGAGGTTCAGCTTGAGCCCCCGCACCGCCAGCGACTTGATGTTGGACTTGGAATGGATGTCTTCCTTGGAAAACTTCTTGAACATGGGTGAAGATTTGTTCGCGGCAAGCGAAGACTTAAGGCGCGGCGAGAGCCCCCTCACTAAGACACAAATCTTGGGGCTAATAAAGGTAGTTAAAGGGAAGAAGAGAGTAATAATAATGAATGAATCTACTCATTTACAATGAATGTGGGGGTTTTTAATTACAATGCCACCACTTATCTGATGTCATCGCACTCAAAAACCCCCCGTACTCACTCTTGCCCATTATCTACTAGTAGTGATCGTGATCACCACTGAGACATCCAGCTCAAGACTCTCCACCAACAGTAGAGCCGAGCGAGGCACAAGGCAGGCTGTCGCCCTGACATTTCCCACTACAGCCATGGCCTCATGACTCCAGCAAGAAAAGTAGGGACGACAAAGATTGTCGCGGTAAAAGTTGTGCCAAAAATTCCCCACGACCGTGGGGCCGTGGGAGCTGTCGAATGTTAAAGTTTTCAACTAGCAAAAACATGCTCTCGGACGAATCCTCACTGAACCACGTAACATCCTTGCATAAAGATGAAGAAAAGAAAATTTAGTGGCGATGGGTCGCGATGATAAATAGTTGACACTTGTGATTATATGCAGTATTAATATTTCGCGGGTCTATGCAGTACGAAAGTAGGGGCGATTAATTACTTCCACCGCCAAGTTGGCCACGCCGTCACCAAATTCAACACTTTCCATGTGGTTATCAGAAACGTCGACTGATTCAAGCGCAGGGGCATCCACTACTAACCGGGCAAGCTCGTTATAATTGAGTTTGAGCTTGCGGAGCCGGTGCCATTGCTTCATTGAGTGCACCTCATTAATGTTGTTAAACAGCAAGTCTGCCTGCTCAAGCAACGGTCCAAGGGTGACAGCGGTGGTGACATTACATCCGTTGATCACAAGCTTAGTGAGTTGAGGGTGGTGTACCTCTAACGGGCCCAGCATGCGGCAATTAAGGAGAACCAAGTGGTTTACTCGGTCGGGTACAAACAGAAGCGACCCTGGGATGCGAGCCTTAGTGATCTGAAGGGCTTCAATGGTCTTGGGGAGCACGGGTATCGGGTGTAAGGTGGGGAACAAAAGCTCTAATTTCTTTAACGCTGGAAATTTAGCCCAGGTATCGAAGTAACGCAACCCACAGAAAGTGAGCTCCTCAGTAGTTTGCAGAAGACTGGAACGAGACAAAATCACGTCGATGGGGAAATCGTGGGATGACCAGGGACGGGGATGAGCGACACCCCATGGTTTACGGACTTTTTCCGGTGTCAGCGCTGGGCGGTATTTTGTCCATTGCAAACTGTGGACTTGAGACAATGCCCCTGATATAAGTTCGTTGCCTCCGTCGACATCATCAAACACCACGCGATGAAGACTTGACGGTGAGGTAACGCTCTCCACTTCGCACGACGTCAATTTGAGCGTTCTCAACCCTTCTGGAAGTACCAACGACATGGCGCCGGCAAGGCCATAATTACAGATCGACAACGATTGAAGGCCCTTGAGCGCTGAAAAATCGTAGTTGTCGCACATCAGCAGCTTGATGAAGAGCAGTTTAAGGTTCATTTTTTGTAATTGAGCCTGAGTAACGCGTCCGTCAAATACGTGTAAACTGTGGATCCGATCATAAAACAGCACGAAATCCTTGATATCGGTGCAGTATAACTCGAGCTGAGCCACTCGCTGGCGGTGGCGGCTGAGTTGGGTCTCAGAACAGTCAATGGAGATGACATCGGCGGGCATAAGAAGGCCGTCTAGCCGTTGATCGATCACATCGGGGGTCACTTGTATTGGCCGCTTGAACTTGTAGGGAAACACCTTTGCCGCCAGGCTCTGCGTAGGCGGATCGCAAAAGTCGATTATGAGGTCGACGATTTCTGGAGGAAAAACACACATGGGACGTAAATCGTAATCTATTATCGGCAGCCGTTATCGGTTTATATTTGCTTCGGATGCATGGAGTACGACCTAGGCTGCAAAATGCTATAAAAAGAAACGGTGGGGCAAAACCGCAACCGTAGCTCATGTGAAGAGCTTGCCATGGCAAAAGTGAGGTGATCCTTGCGGGTGGGGTGATAAAGTACTTAAATACGGCAGACAGTGGGTCTCGGCAGACAGTTGGTTCCTTGTTTGAGTTGTGGTTGCTTCTGGTGCTAGCAGACAGGGACGGGTTCACGTGCTTGAGGGAGGGGTAAAAGGAGGGGTACGAGCCACGGTAGGCCTGAAACAAAAACGTTGGCAAGTGTGGTGAAGAGGGGAAACCGAGAAACAGCTCATGCACGCTTGGCACATGTGCCAAATCACCCCGCCATCGCTTTCAGGGGGTCCAGACTACGACAGCGGTCCTCTCAGTACTTAAATTGGTAGATGATAGTGAAGTTTAGAAAGTGGTCATACATTATGATCTCTGTTCATGGCATATTCTTTAGGATAAATGATCTACTTATTGGGAACTCATAGCATAGTGGTAATGAATTACGCGACTGTAGATTTTAGTAGATCGAAAATCAAGAAAATGCTAGGTATCCATTTATACCGTTGTCAGGATAGATCATTAATAGAGTGTTTTTAAGTCATGGCATCAGGTTACTATACTAGAACTACTTCAACACCTTCCCGTCGGCAATCTCTCTTTCCTCACCGTTGACCACCACCGGCTTGTCCCAGGCAAACATGTTGTCGATGAAGTCCTTGTCCTTGGCGTCGGTGGGGTCCAATCTCGAGTACGAGTAGGATTCCCAGTCAGGAGCCACGTCGAACGCAGGCACGTAGTCTTGGCCTCTGACTAAAAAGGCACCGGTGATACCGTTGTTGTTGTTTTCCCCGTAGACAACCATGCACCCGAACATGTACTTAGTCGAAGCCGACAACCGGTTGAAGAAACCGCCAACCAAGTTGTTCGACATGAAGGTCAAAGTCAACTCGTCGTTGTACTTGTAGTCGACCTTCCACAACGACCATTCTTCGGGGTTCCATTGGTTCTTCCAGAACCAAGGGATGGCCACTTCTCTGGTTTCCTCGTTGGAGTAGGTTCTCTTCCACTCGTCCAAGGGAGCAGACGCCTTACCCAAAGCTTCAAGAGGGTGCTTAGGCTTCTTAGGCGCTTCCTCGGCGGCGGGAGCAGATTCCTTAGCCGCAGCGGCCTTAGGAGCAGCAGCAGCCTTAGGGGCGGCTTCCTTCTTCGCCTTCGGTTCCTTCTTAGGAGGAACGTACTCAAGACGCTTTTCGGCGATCTTGTAGCCCTTGGGCAACACCGCGGCCACCAGTGGCTGCGACGTGATCAACTTGAACCAACGGGTGGTCTGAGGGTATTGACGTTGCCATTCAGGGTCGAACAACAACGCGAACGGTCTCTGGAGCATGAGGGCCGAGTAGATATCGGCAAAAGACAACCGTTCGCCGACAAGGTAGGTGTGGGTGGTCAACCGCTGTTCAAACGCCTTCAATTGCTCGTTCAACAACGCGCTCTTCTCGTCGACGTTCTTCTTGTTGTACGGGGTGCCGTCGTTGAGCAAGGGACGGAACACGGCGGCGGCGGTGGGCAACACGTCGGAGTTGCTGTAGGAGTTCCACATCGTCACCTGGGCCTTTTCGGCGTCGGTCTTACCCAACAACTTCGAGTCCGGTTCGGCGATAAGGAAAAGGTACTGGCAGATGGCCAACGCTTCTCTCAACTTGAGTCCCTTAGGCCCAATGAACACGGGCACTTTCTTCAAAGGAAACGCCTTTTCAAACTCAGGGTGGCCTTCGTAGGAGTCGTAGACAGTGACGTCCAACTTGTAGTGGTTGATGAGCCATTGCACCGGCAACGGACGCGTTCTAGAGCCCAACACGGCGGCGCCAATCGACATTTTCTGGTGGTGAGCTTACTGAGGGTGGAAATAGGAAATGGCAAGCGGCCTGTGTGGAGTGCGCACAGGGGGGGGGCCGTGCCAGCGTGGCTGAAAAATTAGGGTTATCAGTGGCCATATCGTTGAGAAAGGAAGCGCTAAGATGATGATTTATAGCGAACTATCAAATTTCACTTGGCGAGGGAGTATAATTCATTTAGATGAAGGTAAAGTTTCTAGGAAATTGTAATTGGTTAGCTGTGAGTGATCGAGAGTGAGAAGTTATGGTAGAATCTTGATTGCACTTGTCTAATTTACTAGAGACGACTAGTGGAAATATAGCTGGTGGAAGAGGGCGCTGAGATCCAGGACCAGCCAGGTTTATTATTCCGGGTGGCAATGCAAATGGGGGGGTTAGCTCTAGGGGAGTTTCGGCAGAGGATGCACTGTTACCAAAAGGTATACGACTGAGAGGGTTCACAACGGATTATATAGCAAGTGTATGGGCCAACCAGCCCCACCAAAACAGTAAAATTATCCGAAGCTTGGTGGGGGACAATGCTGGTCTTCGGCTCGAGCTACGCCTGAGACATTGCTAACACCGGAGTGAGGATCATCGATAACGCATCGGGTTTATAAACCAGTGCATGATAATAACAATGAAGCGGGCGAGTGTCTAGGTCGTCCCCGCCCACGAGGACTCGGTTATCTACGGCGCCCTGAGGTACGAGTCAGAGCTTGAGATATTCGGGGGGGAGCCACACCGTCAAAACTTACCACCTTAGCATTTTAAGCATCCTCGCATCGACTGAACCCTAATTGTTTTAACCAATGATTTCACGCTCGGCGTTTGTGCGGCGTTCTATCTAAATGTCTATTGTTGACAACGACAAACTTTATAGGGGGCGGAAAAACCATTGCGGGGTCAGCCACCTGGTAACCCAAAAGTAAGTTGCTGGCGATGCAAGGTGTTGACTCCGTCCAGCTCAGCACCAAATTGCTGGAGACTACTCGACGCCCAAAATAATCACTAAACCATTTGTCGTCATACTAAGGGCCAAATGGTGGCCTAGTATTTGGTGGTTTGGGTTAGGGAAGACGCGTGTTGTCCACCGGGAAAATCCCTTTTAGAGATTAAACTTTAGCTTTGCTGTTAGTGGCCCTTCCCCGATCGATCGCATGGCTGGATGCCCTGAGATCGCAAGGGCATCTGTCATGGGTGTCACTCATCGATGTAAACAAACGGCACCAGGCCCTGACTAGCTTAGGCAACCACTACGTGTCTGCAGCGGCTGTAGGGGGCCCAAATGTCAACAAACAGGGGTACCGCGGACGTCTGTCGCCGAGGGGCCCCGATGGCCACGTCGCAAATAATACCGAGAAAAATATCCCGCTGGCAGCAGCCAGCGTGAGTGAAAAATTTGGCAGCTTCCTGGTGGTCATAATAGTTAATTAAATCTCGTTTTCTTCAAGCGGTAGATGTAGGGGTCGGGTAAGTTTCAGGATGAAACAGCCATCACCATTGTTATTGTTTCACCAAACCCCTATACTTGATCAGGGGCTACGGCACAAGCCAGGGGACGATTTCATCCGTCGACGCAGTGCTGGCACTGCATTTGTGGCCTCAGTCAGTATTTTTTCTACGAGGCGATGCAGTGGCGCTGCTGGGAAGGCGGTCTAGATTTCTCTTTATAAGGTTAGCACCTGAGATATAGCTCGAGGAGAAGATTGATTTCAGGGGAGTTTGGGGCAAGGCAACAGGGGCCAGCATGCCGCTGATGGGGAGGTCAAAGGAGCGTAAAATTAGAATTAAATAAAAGTCCTGTCTTATTAATAGATTTTATTCTCTCTCTCAAGGTGCTTCGCTTCGCCTCATCAGTGTTTGTGTGCTCGCAATGAGGTAGGTGCGAGTAATATTAAGGTGAGGTGGTCAGGAAATAGCGTAGTCTCTTGAAAGAAAAAAATTGACCATTTGTATTAGTTGGCCACGTTCGTTTGAGGGGTAATAGTCGATAATCAATCGGTCGTGTTGATTTATAGGCGACAAACACTGCTGATAGTAAAAACCCTAAATTATCAATGCAATGCAATTTCACTAATCAACAGTAGTAGTGATTGATGATAGCGGTCGGCAGGCCAATTATTATGGACTGAGCTTTGGTCAGAGCTCAGTCGAAAAGACTGATTGTCATCTTATTGTCCAATCGAAGTAGCCATGCCATTTAGCCTTGGTGTTGGGATCCATAGACAGCTCGTCAATCATCCTCATGACAAACTGGCCGCGATATCGGCAGTCACGAATCACATGAGGGTCATGGGCGTGGGCAGTGGCGATGGCGTGTTCTCTCAATAAGTTTATGGCGATCCCTTTAGGGTTTGCTAATACTGATGGGGGAGGGTAGTACTCGTCTATCCCCAGTAACTGAGGTAAAGCAAACGTGTGCACGATTGGTTGATGCGTGTGTGACTCCCCCTGAGTAGGTAATTGCTCTCTCTGAAGGGCAATGGGAGGCGTCAAATCGAACCGGAAACTGTCCTGAGGGTTATTGGTGACATACTCAAGCTTAATCAAGTGCCACACAAGTTGTCTAAGCTTCAACAGGTCCAGTAATCCCGCCACTGACCCTCGGGAGCTTTGGCTCAATTGAGGGAATTGAGCCCGGGCAAACCCCAGATTGAGCTCTGTCACTTCAAACTGGTTCAAATAAAATACCAGCGCCATCATTGGCGGAGGAATGGGGACATCGAGGCCTGCGGGGTACGCAGCGATCCCTGCTCGCGCTACTGGCGTCGCCAACTGGAATTTCTTTCCAATGAAGTATTTTAGTATCGTAACCAGTTGCACTGCCAGCGCCCATACGATGGCGTCAGAGCCAGCAGCAATGGAGTCAGCGCACGCCGCCGCCACGGGAGAAGCTAGGGCATCGTAGAGCTGGCCCTGGTTATAGCACACGGCCCGCAAATACGGCAGCAAGTGGTCGCGCCCGGCGATGCCGCAGAGGACAAGCACAATCAGGATCACCACTTCAAGCAACGTGCGCTGGGCCCGCTCGGTGTGGCCGATATCGGTGGCGCGATGGAACTCGGCGATCTGCGCCAGTTGCGCCTCGACGACGGGACTGAGGTCGGGGGAGTGGGTCAGCGAACACGCTAGTAGCGCGAGGTATAGGTAGGGGCGCCGGTCGCTATACTCGGCGGCGAAGCAGCGGTGGGGGATCATCAGCCCCCATATCCCTAGCTCGTTGAACTGGTCGAGAAACCAGTGGTAGCGCTGGCGCTCGACGATGTCGATGAACACCGCCACCTCGCTCTGAATTTGTGGGGCAGGCGGCGGGAACGGCGTCGCCGACGGGAGCATCGGTTTGAGGAGGGCCAGGGCGATATCGTAGCGTTCAGGGAGGGTGGTAGATATCTGGGGTGGTACTGGCGCTGTTAGTGGTGCCGGCGCTACCGGAGCTAACGGCGCCGGCGCCTGCGCCGGCACCGACGCCAGGGGAGCGGTTAAGGGGTGCGGCGAGTACAGATGCGGGCTGTCCACGGGCAAGTGGCCGGGGTGCGCCGGCGGTATCAGCAGCGGCGGTGGTGGCGCTGGTATTGATAGCAGGGGGTCGGTGGCGATGAAGGTGGTGGTGGGGTCGGTGGTTGTGGCTGCCGACACCAGCGCGTCGCGCCCGGCGCTGGCGGCGCCGTCGTGGAAGGTGCGCTCGGCCTCGTCCAACTCTTGAGGGGAGTGTAGGTGGAGGTAGGGGCGGTACTGGCGGCGCCCGTGGCGGTAGAGCAGGGCGATGGTGATCAGCTGGTCGAGGATGCGGTACGGGTGTTGTTGTGGTGCAGGCGCCGGGGCGATGGCGGCGGCGACGGCGGAGTCGTCGTGGGGGTTGAAGTAGGTGTACTGGGTGAAATTGAGGCGGACGCCGCGGTAGCACTTGCGCTTCAGCTTAATACAGTTCTTGCACACCGGCTGCTGTTCGTCACACTTCATGTGGCGGTCTCGGCAGGTCAAGCACCCCAGCCGGGTCCGCGACCGCTTCACCAACGGGTTGAGCCGCTTCTTCGCCATACGCGCGGGCAGGTAACCAGGATCAGACGCCGATGGAGCCGGACGGGACCTCACGCCGACGAAGATGGTGGGGACAATGGGTCGACAGTGGTGCGGAGGGTGGTCAAAAAAAACTGCTGGCGGGCGCTGATTTATTTTTTCGCTCGCGCGCCCTTATGGGGCGGGAGCCTGCCCCCGCCCCTCGGTGTGACTCGCGAAGCGGCAATGCGGGCGCCAGTTGCTAGAAAATATCCGCATGGGTAACCGTGCAGGTACCCCGACGGCAGACAAACACAACATCCCCCCACCTAAATGATGGCATCCAGCTAAGGGATGAAAGCCGTGAAACAGAAAATACTAGATATATCAGAACAACGTTAGTTATTTTATTGGGATTTACACTCATATCCTTTGAGGAAGTTTTACTGTCACACTATATCAGGGCCACTTGTTTTTCTCCATGTTTTCCTTCCCCAATTTTTTCGGTGTAAAATTTATCATCGATGGTCTAAGCGGAGGTTGATCCGAGTAGGACTTTTTGTCCACCGTATTGCTGGGCTTGCATCAGCACAATGCCTCTCCTCCAGTAAATGGACCCATAGGTGCAGGTCGGGTATACTCTCTGACCCTCCAGTGGCTTTTTGCCCTTCTGCAACTTCCCCCGGCTTCGGAAAAAGGTGGCGGTACGTCGGACCCGTTTGGAGAAACTAACAGCTTTAGCCGGCTGCCGCCCTGCACGTCCCGAAGCGGTGGCAGGTCGACTAGGGCAAACGCTGTTCCTACGTCTGACAAAAAAAATTGCTTTCACCATTTTAACAAGAAAGAAGTTGGGAAGTATGACTCTTGCTACTCTTCGTTGTTAATATTTGGCCTTTAACTGATTGTATTCCATGATGTTTAGTTGCGTATGATGGTGCACCGTTATTTATGCAGCATGCCTATGAAGGGACTGGCTGGAATCCGAGGATGCGATACTCCTTCTTGAAGCTCCAATAACAGACCTAATCAAGTATACAAAGATGCTAAACCGCTGTGAAATTTTTCTTGTTGCATTTTGGTACCCCTTTCGAGGTGTTTGGTTTTCTTCAACTCACACAACTTGCATTTAATGGTACACCAATGCATCTCCTAGGCAGAAATCAACAATATACTTCAAATCGTGCTTCCAGTGTAAAGTTAATCTATCGAATTGTTTGAAGTCGCTATTGTCTTGCTAATTTCGCTTAGATTACCCGATACCGTTGTGAAGCTTATGATACAATCGTCAATTAAGGGGTCTTCAAGGCAGCCACGTCAGGGATGTGATTGCTGTATTTGGAGATCATATTATCATGATGTTTGATCATGATGTTTGATCCTCCACTGGTTTGTTAAAAGTAACGCGTCTTCATCTATTCAAGATTAATTAGTATGCAGCTATCAACTAACACCAGAAGTTCGAAACGTTGTCACACTAATTGATTTAGTATCTGTCTGTGGTAGCAAGCAATCCGTGTGTCATTGAAGCTCACTTCAACGGCAATTTGATGGTGTTTTGGCGGTTTTGATCGCATTCTTCTAATTGCACTTTGAAGCTGTGCGCCAATTCCGAAATTGTTCATCCAGTCCAATTATTCATCAGTTGACGTTGTTCATAAACTCTGATCAAACTCTATCATCTATCGATGATCTCCGATTAGGTGTATTATTCGTTAAACTTGCCGTGCTTGTCTGTACTTATAGTTCTCAAAAACCCGCCGTGCTTGTGAGGCTGAACCTCAACTCCATCGATGAAACGGCTATAACTCTAGACCTCAACGGCTCCATACAAAGCCGCAATCCGATTGGACTTGCCGTTGTACACCAAAGGCCTCTCGGGTGCACTTAAAGGATTTGCTCATAGAACATCGTCGAGTTTGAACGGAAGATAGATATTCGGCTGGATGCTCTGAATACAGTTTCAATAGGATAATCAGTTCTCAAGAACATTAAGCAGCTTGTGGTCTAGAGCTTCTCTTAGACCGTTAGACGAAAACAGCGCGCGGGGGGTACCACAACGAGGCTTAGTGGGGGAAAGCTGGGAGCGAAAATTTTGGCGTTCCTCGCCCACAGCAGAATTAGACGAGGAGAACGGACCACGTGACTAAGGCCAACAATCTCATTTCTTGAGAATTACTGTCGGATCGTCGATGGCTGTCGGGTTGATGGGTCAGATAAGCCGTTCCAAACTTAATTTAGGACCATCTTAGGTGCATATAGTTACATGTGGCTGGTGAGGTGTGGGGTGACGATGCTAGCTACCAAACTACTCACCGCGACGAAGGGGCCTCGAAGGGGCTAATCACGTGTCGATGCGCCAGGAGAAAAAGTAGGGGTGATAGCCATTAGGGCCCAGGCCCCGCCGTTTACCGGGAAGAAGTTTGGGTCGAACCTGTATTTGGCGATGTGTGCTTACGTAACCCCGGGCTCCGGTGCAGTGTATATAGGGCTAGCGCTCACTTGAGATGGTACCTTATACGGTGACACCGGGCCACGATAGTCTTAAATGACCACTTAAACCTAGAAAGAAAGGGTTGTTTCCTCTAATGTGAAAATTTTTACGTCGTATTCGAAATATACATGACGCTAGCGTCACTTTTGAAGGCGTATACGCCGTTTAGGTCCTGTTCCCTCTATGCAATACGAAGCTCTGGTGAGAGGAGGGGTAGGAGACACACAATGGGCGCGGCTATATAAGGTATCTCAGCGCTCTTGCGGACTAAATCTTTTCCTCTACCCCTCGCAATGGACGCTGCCCCCAACCGACCGTTAATGCAAATCCCCCTACCCAAGCGCCCCCCGTCTATGCCCATGTCCAACACTCCGCCTGAACACTCTGTCATCTCCCGGAAGTCCCAGGGCTCTCAGGGCTCCCGGACGAGCTCTTCGCTGGGGTATGCCTCCACCGCGAGCGTCTCGACGCTGCGCCACGGGTCACCACCCTCCCTGGTGACGTCGATGAATGCGTCGCCAACCTATATGGATGGCGGTGGCAATGGTAATGGTAACGGAAATGACTACTCTCTTGTCAAGGCCCGGACGATGGCTCCTGTCAAGGCCCGGACGATGGCTCCTGTCAAGGCCCGGACGATGGCTCCTGTCGTGCTCACCAATTTCCCTGAAATGCCTTCTGAGGACATTATCCTTCTTATCAAGGAAACAATCCTGGCCAACATTGGCTCCTGGATTGAATGGCACATGTACCCGTTGAAAGGACGGGATGACGGTTTCATCATTGCCCTCGCCCAGGCCGACATCGCCTATCGCTTCATTAACTGCATGAATGGGTTGATTATTGACAACCACACGTTGGAGGCAAGGCTCTACTACCCGCTGGCCACCGGGCCGTGGCAATTGCCCGAACTACTGCCATCCAATATGCTTCCTGAACCCCACAACCGGGTGTATGTGAACAACTTGCCCTTCCGCGCCCTGATTGACAACTTCTGCATTTTCTGCTTCAAGCTCATTAACGACAAGATACCCCGGCTTGCGCTGAAAGTGACAGAAATTAAGGTGCCTCTGCGGTACGACGACTCACAATACTTTGGCAGTTGGAGAAACGACGATTACCTCAGCAAAGGGTATGCGCTCGTTACCTTCAGTGACCATGAGCTGGCGTGGGCGTTCATTGATGCCATCAACGGCGTCTGGTACGACAGACGGCAATTGGGAGCTCGCTTCGACAGATTCCCCGACAACCACAGCACGCGCCCCATCCACTTTGAGCAGGCCTCTGATGATGATGAAGTTCCTGGTTTTGTCCACTCTGGCTCTGCCCAACACAACCCTAGCATCAAGTACCGAGACGGCTCGTACCAGGACGACTCGTACCAAAACGGATCGTACCAACACCGTTCTTACCACCAAAACGGATACCAACGGAGTCGCAACTACCACAACGGGTACCGCTACAACCGCTACCACCGGAACGGCTACGGTCGGTACGGCTACTACCAAGACCCCTCAAGTGACGGCAACGAGTCTTCTTTCAACACCCACGGCGATGGCGACAGAACCCGCTACCCCCAATACAGAAGCGGCAACGGATACCCTCCCAACCACAACTACCAGTATGGTTCGAGAAACAATGCGTCTCCTCCCTTCTGTTGCCGCAGTGGTGGCTTCTCTCCCAACGGATACCACCCCAGCAACAACATGAGAAGAGTCCAGTACCACCGCAACAACTCATCCAACCAATCATTCGAACAATACTTCGACCATGGCTCCGACCAGTCCTCCGATGATACCCAAGTTAATGGCAACGAATACCCTTCGGACGACTCCACCTCGTGGAGCTAATTTTAACGGTAGGCAGATCTACCTTGTGGCGAATTTTATAGGGAATCACAACGTATTTGTGAGATATGAGTATTTTTTCCTGTAGTATGCATGCTTTGGCTAAAGTTGGGTTCCACAAAACAAGATTGCAGTGCACTTATGTAAGCCCAACTTTGTGCCACATTCCTTTAATAACCAGCACAAATGACCATGAGCCGTCTCAAGTCGACGGAAGATGTCATGGAATGAAAATTGCGATTGACATAGATTTCCCACTGGTAAGTGATACATTTGCTTTGAACTCATGGAAATGGATCGCTTGCAATTGGAAATTGATAGGTGCTGTCGCCTCAGTAAGACCAAACAGTGAGGAGAGTTAAATAAACAGGTTCTGTATGATCTTTATGACTCCTTGAATGTTTGTAATCTGCCTTTCATGAGTCCTGTCATGTTGAATTTCTCTCTTAACACTTCATTCCTTGTTCTGAACTTGATTTGAAGGTGACCCTTGAAGTAAAAGCAGTACCATCATTTGCTTATACGGTAATATCACTCGAAGCAGACCATTCCAGTCTCAATAGTGGCATTGCTTAATCGTCAATATTCATCACAGCCACGTTCGACTATGGGCGCTGGACGACCTCCATGCTTGCAAGTTCAGGTGTGCAACACATGGCTCAACCACAGGCCAAATCCACCCCATCACTCGTTGCACCAATAAGTTGACCTCAAGGGTGACGTGTTGTTTGAATAAGTAGTGTCGGCATTTTTCTCCTAAAGGTGTGCCAGGGGAAGATTAGCCGAGACAGGCAGGTTGTATGATGACACCGCAATGTGGAATACGAAACACGCCTCCACAACTTATTCCTGCTCCATTTGACGGCATCAGAAACCTCCCATTTACGTTGGGTTGCTCATCTCGAGGATGAAGAGTCTACGTTTTTAGGGTTAATTCGTTAAGCTGATCATATCTCAATTACAAAGTTGAGCGAAGGAGGCTACCAATGAGCCTAGAGCCAAGGACATGAATTATAATCAGTTGCTCCCCAAGTTGAAGATATTGTTGAAAACTTCAAAAGTTGTTTATCTGGAACCGAAGATTCCGGTCAACACTTATCAATCATTATATGTCCGAAAGTACGACCTACAAGTCAAATAATCGAAGTGATATGTGATCATAATAGTAACATACACGTACTATTAACTTATGCTGATGACATGGAGTTCCTCGCGAGAAATCCAACTACTTGATTAACAAAAGTTGAACACCCGGGTATTCAGAAGCAGGCTAATCGCGGAAATCGTTATGATATACCATAAAAACCGGTATCCGCTTCGTTACGTTATCGTAATCCTAAAACAGCTGAAGGAACGATTAATATGATGACGACCAAATCATACAATGAATGAATGATGCGACCTTATGTCGATTCACGATTCTTCGAGGTGGTTTACTCTGCTGAGATCTTTCTTGAATTCATCGTAAGTTGGATCAATCTCAGCATTGCCAACGTCAATGATGACATCATCACGAGTCTTGTCCTGATCATCGTCATCGTCATCGTCGTCGTCTTCATCATCATCATCGTCATCGTCGTCGTCGTCATCGTCGTCATCATCGTCGTTGTCGTCATCATCATGGTTGTTGTTGTCATCGTCGTCATTCCCATCGTCTTCGACTTCGGGATAGCCGCCCAATTTCATGATAATGCGGTCGACAATCTCGTTCCAGTCCATCATGCCCCCCATACCGATATCACCATAGGCACCAATGACCTTTTCCACTGGCCGCAACACTTCCACCCACGGCATTTCCTCGCGGATCACCTGGAGCTGGTGCTTAGTAGTGATGGCATTGTACAGATACAGCACCATCGCCGGGGCCAAAAGGATTGGGAACAGCGTGTTCCACGCCCGCACGACATTGGTCAACAAGTTGTCGCAGATACCCATGGCAATCTTGGAAAGAGTATTGGCAGTGAGGGGGCAAATGATCAATATATCCGCCCATCGTCTGAGCTCAATGTGTAACACCGGATCCAGACGAGTCTTCCACGTAGTCCACTCATCATCATCGTGCCACACCTTGACCCCCTTCACCGTTTCAAGCTGTTGCAACAGCTCCACGCTGATGAAATTGGACAGTTGCTGGGTCATTATGAGCTGGATGGCGATACGGTTGGCGCCATATATATCGAAAAGCTTAGCGATAATCAACTTGATCTTGGCAGTACTGAGAGCACCACACACGCCAAATAAAATGTGGATTTTACCATCATCTTGGACGAGGCGCGGATCGATGTTGGCGTTTTGCTCGGGGATTCGCGTCGGTGACAGCGCTGGTGGCTCTGATTCGACGACCGCGTCGAGGCTTTGTTGTAGTATCAGCCCCAGACGCAGTCTCACCTTTTCTGGCTCTTCAAAATGGGCGTGGACGGATGGGTTGCGCTGGTGCTGATCTGCGGCGACGTTCAACGCCACACTATCCAAATCGCCTCTGGCGAGCTCTAGCAGCTCGTCAATGTTGCGAGGGGGATTGTTCAAGATAGGAGGTGGCAGTGGACACCGAAGATTGCTGAGCGCTTGGGATTTGGAGTCTTCGGTCATTGCGGCGGCTGAGAAGGGGCGGTATGGCTGATAATGAGAAGCCAATATGGTAGCGCGCGCAGCAAATAGTACACTATAGAACACGCCGAACCATTCGAGAGAGGTGGGCTGATCCTTGAGTAAGAATTGGATAGATTGTTTCTTGGAGTTACTGGTACACAATTGAAGCCTCTATAAGTCAATTTCGTCAGGAGCAGAGCGTTGTGGCTGTCAAGATGTCAACTTTCCATATCAACCAGAGTAATTGCTTTTGGTCGTAGAAACAGTCAGTGGGGATAGTTTGACCAATTATTAAACTCATGTCCTCCGTTGATCAACCAATGGAGAGCTATGGGGCCTCAGCTCTAGAGTATCCCTCATAATTGTAGCTGTCTGCGTCTAGAGTTGCTACTTTCAAATTCTGGCGATGAAATATGTTCAGCGTAACCAGTTGAGCTTCCCCATGATGTAGCTGGATATATCGAGCACACCAACAAGTCTTCTGCTCGGCTCACCAAGTACTGAACATTGTGCCGCACACGCGAGCCATGGCTGAAACGAAACTACGTCGAACACATGAAATCTATCTCTGTGGCTTCTTAATTAATATTGAATTACGGCAACACAACAATAAAAATTTTTTATGTGGATTCACAGGACAATCATTTTAGTTGTCAAGGCAGTCAGTGCCCCGAAAGTGGGGGAGGGGGGCATTACCTTAATTGCCTTTGATCAATTATGTTCTAAATTGGACTACGGCCTTCAAATTCATTGGCGAGATCAATTGAGAGTCTCTTCATCTGTTCGCCAATTATACTGTGACAAGAAATTTTAGCGGTTGTATGCGAGGTTGGTGTCTGTTTTGATGAGGGCATGTTTGCGGCATTAAATCCCAAAACGGCAATCGCGACCAGATAACTAAAACGACAAGCACAGCGCATCTCATAACAGGTACTACAAAGCGGTTTATCACAGGGAGCCCGCGTCGTAACAATCGTCATAAGGGGACCCGACGATCGAAAGTTAGTGGGATCGGCAATTGTCAGTACATACCAGGGCGTATGACGCTAGTACAGTGCTTTTGGTCATACCGCCAATTTCGATGAATTGGTGGTTTGTGCGACAACAGTGTCGGACCGGATGTCGGACTACAGAGTTCGGATTGCGTATCGGGAGTCGGAAAAAAAGGCAGCAGTGACGCTTGGCTTGTCGGGTTCGCGGTTGTACGTAGTCGCAGTTCGTGTCGGACTCAATTTCGCACTTGCCGTGAGAAATTGAGAGTCGCTGTCGGTCCTGTTGTCGGAATTCTGGGAACCGTTGTCGGTCCTGTTGTCGAAATTTTCTAGAACTTTCGTCGCTTTGGCGAAGGCTAAACATGTAGATCTAGCGACACCACGTCCGTCACTAATCTTGAAAAAACCGCACGTGAATGCGACAAGGGATAATTTTCGACACGCACCCGACAATCACCTCGAGAATTTCCGACACCGCGAACCGCAACGACGACAAGCGTAACTCTTTTTTCCGACATCACTACAACAACGGAAGCATGAGAATCCGAAACTCATTTTCCGAGGGTCCGACAGTAGGTGCGACAGTTGCATTTGAGGGTGCGACAAACTTGTGCCAAATGTGGGTTTCGCGTATCTGTAAAGCGCCACATCCATGACGCCGACTAATCAGGTTTGTGCACTCTTTTAGTATTGGGTGGGTTCGCGTCCTTTTGAGCAACTAACCCGTACATCGAGTTTTGCAAACGCAAGTCGGTTAAGTGCTGTGCAACGAGGAAAAATTCTCGCTCTACTAGAACGATAATCAGCCAATCGATTAATTTTTGCCAGACTTCAAGATCGGTTCTTGGCGGCAATTTCTTGTCGCAATTTAGACGATAATCATGCCTTCCTTGATGGACATGATTGATCTCAACAGTAACCGTTTTTCAGATGATCCAACGTTTTGTCACGTATATTATGCCAGGGCGAGCCTCACTGACATCATCACGAGTATACGATATTTTCGTGTATAAGCCACCAGCAGGGACGCACGAAGCTCCCTTCAAATCTGCTGGAGTGGATCTCCGAGAGTATTGTTGTATGTTCAAAAAGGCCGAAGTGGCTGGTAAGAGCAGAATTATTTTCTGACAAAGCTAATTTCGCGGAAAATATTTCGCACGTGCAACCTTGTAAAAAGTCCGATCTTATTCACCAAATTAATTACCCCTTGACTACAACTGCTATATACGGGTAAGAACTTTTAGAGGTTTTTAAGTTGCTATCACACCCTAACATCGATGAAGTTCGGTTAATTCCTCAATTTTATTCCATCCCAAACATGGCTCATGCCACCTTCATCGTCCAGTTGAACATTTGAGGTTCATTACAAGATTGGTGTACAAATATTGTCAGCTCATCTGGTTGAGTCCAAAAGCGTTGCCTAATAGGTTTCTCTGGATACTGCTGGTTTACACTTGATCCTGGGAAATGATCTTATCAATTGTAACTTGCAAATTCAATTGCAAAGTTGTAAATGTTCCAACATCATTTTTATCCAGATAAAAAAAGCCCGTATTGCATTCCAACTGTTGAAACGCTTATACGGATGTCAGGGAGAATACTGAGTGATGGCAACTGTTTGCACAATGACTCACATGATTTTGGATTAATTTGAATGTTGGGAAACATCTTGTTAAGTTGCAAACAAAAATGGAAAAGTCATCAATTCTTCCTTGAAAGCATTACAAGCAGTTCCGGTGATGGTATTTCTTCGAATTAATTTGCGCTACAGGTGAGTAAAACTCAACTACAAAATTGTGGCTATATCAACAGATAATCTCGAGAAATATTAGATCACGAATGAAGTTTTTGAATGGGTACAAATAAGTCGGAATCTCCTGGTTCGCCTTATCGGTGTATGCTTGACCCCCTTATTGATGAAATATGTCGATCTCAGTACCCCTCTCGCTAAACTCGCATGCGTCACTGATAAGTTTATTCAACGGTCACACTAGTATGCAACGGGTAGTGATCAATAAAAGGGGAACTTGCTTGGATATGAAATGTGAGCATTTGTGAATGATTGAGTTTACTCATTTGCCGCTGATTTGTCATATGAGATGATTCAACATGAGACGATTTACAATTCCATCACATCCTTTTTTAACTTAAACTGAAAGTGTGGTACTGGATTGGACTTCAATTCAAAGTAATCATCATAAACATATTCAGTCACAAAGGCCGTTACTGCCAATGGCCGAATTGGTTTTTTCTTGAGACATTTTCAGCTCCGATGAAGCTCTAGGTCGAACACGAGAATTTGAGTAATGATTGACCAATTCTTAAAATGAATCAACCTTCAATAACGTTGGAGGGTTATTACAAGCGTGAGATTTCAAGATTTTGAAGTAGATTAACTATATCAATTAACAGGACGCCTGCGAATGTCAACATTAACTCAATACTAATATCGGATAATCGTAAATTCGTAAATTCGTGAACTATACATAACTATCAAGGTTTTGCTATGGATATGACCTTTAACGAACCCATTAAGCAGAGTGCAAACATAGCCTCGTCAATCATTGCCTCCAGGCTGAGGTGCTGTTGGTGTTGGAGTCATTTCTCTCATCTCTCCGAAACTTCTTTGTAGGCGGCAGACTGGAAGTGTTTGTTATTTGCAGTAATGGACGTTTTTGCTGTGGTGCAACGTCTTGGAGCGGGCGTCTAAGTATGGGGAGCTTCGTTGGGGATCGCGGTCTCGTGTCAAATACATGGTGGGTATCAGAGGGTGTCCGCCGAGCCTCTTGTGGGAGTGCTGGCTTGAGATTCCGGCTCCGAGGTGATCTGCTTGGAGATGTAGGCAATTTGGAACCGGGGTACCTTGCAGTGGGACTGCGAACCAGAGATTCAGACAAAATGCGACCTCTCATGGGACTGACATCTGGAATATTACGCTCAATGCGTCTGACTGGGCTTGATACAACCCTTCGGCTCGGACTAAGCAGGGCGTTTTTCATTCCTGATTGGGGCTTACGTGGGCTCATTCGTTGCGGAGACCTTGACGGGCTACGCGCTCGACAATGTTTGGTTTCAGCCAATTCGATTACTGATAACAATGGCTCGTCATTAACGAGGAATTGCTCCTCCCTGTCTGCGAGCAATCTTTTCAATTCACTTGTGACGCGTGGAAAATTCTGAGCAAATTCTTTGTGCTTGCGAGCCTCCTTGAGACCAATACTGACAGCGTTACTTCCTGTGAGGCGACTGGGGTCTTTGGCGCTATCAATGAGTTGTTGCTTGAGGCTGAGCAATTCGAGGAACCTTTCATATTCTACAAATATGATTTCCTTACTGGCATATTCCTCCTTTAATTTCTCGAAGTAGGTCTCATGGTCATCAAGTACCTTCTCCATAGTGGGTATAGGTGATCCCAGCTCGTCATTTTTGTCAATGGTGGCGTTGTCCCAAGTAGCATATTCCCATTGGTTGCGTTGATCAGGCCCGTAGTGCATGTCACTCCATAGATTCTGGATACTCTGTCGTAAGGAAGTGATATACTTTTCAACGTGTTGGCTTCTCAAGATTAACAATCTTGAGAGCTCAGTCTTCCAATCCTTCAAAACGTGTTGCAGATAGCCTTGGTGAGTGTATGGAAAGTTAAATTGATATTCCTCGTCCACATCGAGCTTTTCCCATAGCAGAATGCATTTCATTTTGACTTCCTCCACTTCAGCTCTCATAGACTGGAAGGTCTCATTAAGTGTACCGTACCATGACTGAATAGTATTGATATGTTTTTGATGCAAGCCAAACTCTCGAGGAGAATCTTTGAAGGTGGCGACGTCAGATACTTTGAAGAACTCCTCCACATATTCGTCACCCTTGATCTTGGAGGTCTTCATTGAGTTTTCCTGAACTGACTTGAAATCCTCTTCGGAAAGCTCGAGTTCGTTAATCATTTTGGCGCATTCAGTAGCAACATCACTTACAAGTTGCTCGCGTTGCTGACAACATGTTTGAACTTTCTTGGTTTCAGTGGTAATGTCCTTAAGTAGTTTCTTGCTGATTCGCAAATCCATTCCTTGGACTAGTTGTACTAGTCTGTAGTTAACACCCTGAAATTGAGCGTCAAGTGTATCCGTCTTCAAGTTAATTTCCAGCAGATCAGGGGATTGCAAGTAGTGAAACGATTCGTTGTGTTGCGACGGCAGAGCAATGATAACGTCGGAAACTGGAAGATTAGTCGCCTCTTTGTGTAAGACGTCGAACTCTTTCAAAATCCTGAAATACGTGTTTGTGTCATCTTGAGAAAAGCAATTGCTCAAGCCGGGGGTTTCGAACTTCATACCCACCACGGATGCCAGTTTCCAATACTCAATCAACATATTACCAAGTTCAGTTAAAGATTCTGTAAACCATTTCAAAACCTTGAGAAATACACTGTGAAGGCACTTCTTCAACTCGAGTAAGGAGATACTTGATTTCGGTGATGTTGTGTTGGGATCCACAGATAATCGGCTTCTATCACTTTCGGATAATCTCACCCCCCCAGGATCCTCGATATGCTCCAAGAACAAGTGAATTTGTTGTTTGAGCCACAAGCATTCATTGATAAGTGCTGACTTTTCTTGTTGAGCTGTGAGAGCGAAACTCCTTATAGTGTGCTCAACTTTGTCAACAAATACTTGCCTCTTCTGTTCCTTTTCACTTTCGGAGTAGCCAATGGATTCGTACGTCGCCAGAGCACTGTCAAGAGCCTCTTTCAACTTCAACCCAATTTCTTCATTGGCCGCCGAATCAAAATGAGGCACACAACTTTTTTCAACAACCGGAACTGTGTCTGTGGTGTTGTCCATTTCAGAAGGTGGTGACAATTCAGGGGGGTCGCCCGAAGTCACTACCGGTTCCGTCATCCCAGGGAATGATTGTTATTGTTTGGATGTGCGGCGCGACTTGGTGCGCATCCGACCGTGATCTGAGATGAAATCACTACACCAACTTAAGTGATGTGAGACTCAACACAACAAAGCGAAATAAAGGAAATAGTCGGTATAAGTTACCATTCGTTTGATGTGAAGTCGGTATTGTCTATAGTTTTGCTATATTTTTGAGTATATAGTAGATTCCTCTCCCGATTGTTTGTGTCACGTGATCAGTGTTTAATAGGGCTATATTGTTAGTAGTTGATCCCAAACCTTCGTGCTGCAAAGCTTTACTTTTGTCAGCAAGCATTTGTAACCTGCGCTATAATAAGATGTATCAACACGCGTAGCGGGTAAGAATTTTGAATTGCTATAGTAATAATCGTAACCTATACCCGATTGGACTTCTCACTGTATTTATCGAAAAGTGTCGCAGCGTCTAGATTGTGGACACAAAGCCTATATCTTAACTAAAATGTGGTTTTGAATATAAAGCAGAATTACGAACTACAATGTATGCCTGAACGTCGCTTTTACGTGATGAAAGTCTAGGATATTCTTCAGCTCGAGTGAACTTTAGTATCGACCGCCACAATTGATACCTAAACTTTGAATTTATGAACTTATTATAACCAGTATTCGAATTGTTTATAATATTATATTCTAGTTGTCTTTACCCCAGTTCATCAAAACAGATAAAGCTTGCTGTCTATCGCTCTTGAAGCTTCGATCAGACACATACCACGCGACGTCACTTAACACCCCGAGCTCCTCAGGCTCCTTCGAATTGGAAGCAATCAGCTTGTTCTCTTCAGCTACCCGCGCTGAAGCAACCTCAGCGGCATCGACAATTGACTGCTTGATACCACACATCGCTGCCACATGCATCCCGAACAGCCCCGGGGCACGGCCGGGCTCCAATTTGTACAAGAAGGTGATTTGCCGGTTCTCGTCATCAACGTTGATCGCCATTCGTAATGGTTTCACTTCGGGATGCTTGTTGAATGCGTCGACAAGACCACCAAAGTGTGTGGCAAAGTAACCAAGGGGCTGGGTATGCGTTGCCAAATGGTACAAAACTGCTTCAGCAATGGCAAACCCATCGGAACTCAGACCACCTCGACCCAATTCATCAATGATTACCAACAGCTTAGGCGTCGCCTGGCTCAAGATTTTCTTCGTTTCCGCCAACTCGACGTAGAACGTCAGCTGCCCCCCAAGAATATTGTCACTGGCACCTAAACGAGTCATGATGCGATCAACAGGGACTAATTCGGCATATGAGGCAGGAACATAACATCCTAGTTGGGCGAGAATCACGGCGATGGCAGTAGTCCGCATAAGAGTCAGTTTACCAGCAGCATTAGCCCCAGTAAGAAGTCCAATGCGAGGGGTTTCACCACCAAGTTCAACATCATTGGGAATGAAATCACGTGTGTGCATGGGATTGGTCAAGTTCTCAAAGCGAAGATGGCCGATGTCATTATCGACAAACTTCGGTCGGGAGGCAGGAGATCCCAACAGTTCCAGCACTCTGGTAAGCGCCACGATCGCATCGGCGATACTGACAGCATCAACAGCCTTCTTATAAATCTCAAAGTCTTGGGAGAATTGCCGGTACAAATTGGTTCGAAGCAGGGCACACACCACTTTGTGGATCTCACGCTGCTCCATCAATTGACGCGCCAATTTCTTCACCGGTGGCAGCCAGTACCGCTTCACCTTCGACGTCAGCCCCATTTGCATCCACAGGTCAGGCACCTTTGATACCAACCGATTAGGAAGTTCAATAAGGTAAATCTCCTTACCCAGATCCTTGTACACGATTTCTCTCAGGCCAAACTCATCACGGAGTTTTTTAAGTTCAACTGCAAGCTGAGATTCAAGCTCAGTTAAAGCGTTTCGCAGATTGTCGAAATCGGCATCTACCCCAGATGAGGGTACAACTTCGTCGTTCAAGGCTAACTTCCGGTCAAAAGCATCTTCCCACTTACTAATGACCTCAGCTAATTCGTGAGGGATGGCTTTGAAAGCCGCTCCAAGCGCACTATCAGCAGGAACGTTCTCTTTGAGTTTCCTGAACTTGACGATGGCTTCCAACAGTTCGACCACCTTGACGAATTCGCGGAATCTAAGCGTACCTGCGTGGACTCTGGCGAGTAGACGTTCAGTGTCAGGAAGAGCATCAAGAGCACGCTCAATTTGTTGCCTCACATCACTATTGTTCATAAGGAATTCCACAGCGTCTAAGCGTTCGTTTATAGATTTGGCTCTGGCAAGAGGAGCCATAACCCATTGTCTCATACGCCGCTTTCCCATCGGCGTTTGGGCTCGGTTGACAAGCTTCAAAAGCGTACCGCGACTCAGACCATCGTCACAGTTCGCCAACACCTCTAAATTTTCTAATGAAGTACCGTCAATGTTCATGTGACTGGGACCGGCCTCAGCAGAATACCAAGTGATGTTCCCCAAAGAAAGGATTTGAGTGTCAAGCTTCAAGGTAGTGAGGTACCAAAGAAGACCCGAAAATGCCAGGAAGGCAGTTTGGTAATCTTTAATACATTCGGCTAACACCTTCGGGTAATTGCTCATATCGTCAGGGTTCTCTTGAGGGAACCAATTAGCTTTGCTGATGTAGTCGCGTGCTGTGTCAGTGTCCCAGAATTCAGTGATGGGATTGACGGCATTCCAAAGCTGTTGGTTGCCTTTGCCAGACTGCTTGACGATCTTATGCGCCAATGGCGAAAGGTTGTGCTTTGCCACCACCACTTCTTTGGGGCGAAGTTGCAGCACAATTGTCTCTAATTGAGTACAATCACGGTCATCGTCGATTTGACTAAGTTGTAAGTGGCCCAGGGCAACGTCAACCACGGCAACACCAAATTGAGGAGTAAGAGCCGCCAGCGGTTCTTGCCATACGGCCATACAATACACCGCCAGATCACCATTCAACATGTCAAGATCAGTGAGCGTACCACCGGTAAGTACGCCCGTAAGCTCACGTTTGATAATCTTCTCTTCCTTGGTGCCACCGCCACGCATTTCTTTAGCCAAAAGCGACTCTTTTTGATCGACTTTGGCAACTTTGTAGCCAGCATCAATAAACTGTTTAGCCCAGTATTCAAACAGCATTTCTGGAATACCTGCTAGTTGCATGTTGGCACGACCACCCCCAGCGATCTTCAAGTCAAATTGAGTATTGGCAATGACAGCATCGTTTTCATAAAGTTCGTAAAATTTTCCCTTCTTGAAGAACACCACTGTGTCCCACATTTTACTCTTGATTTCCCAGTATTGCCGCTCGAACGCCGTAAACTTCAGCCACGCCAGTTGAGGAATGTAAAGCGTACGAGGGTCGTACTCAGGGTCATCTTCGGTACGCTTCTCCGCATCTTTAATCGTCAAAAGCCATTGGTATCGTTCTTCATTGATTTTGGCAAACTTCGAGCCCAGAGCCAGTTTGGATGGAGTACGTAAAGGTGACAGCCCAAGCGCGGGAGCTTGATAATTCAGAGCTGATGAAAACTTTGCCAACGAACCTGATGGAGAGGAAGGGGGCATTTGCGATGACAGTCTGGGAACGGGAGAAGACATGGGACCCCGCGACGACAGTCTGGGGGTGGGCGACGATCTTGGTTGCGAACGCCTCTTAGGCTTCACCACGATATCATCGTCATCATCGTCCAGCTCATGGTCTGTGGGAGGCTCGGGACTATCGGGAACGGCATCCGACACGTCGTCGGCATCACTATCACTACTTTGAGCGACAAACTCGTCACCCAGATCTTCAGACACGTGAGGCAGGTCCATATCTTCATCGTCGTCTTCCTCCTCCTCCTCATCCTCGGGTTCGACTTCTTGTTTAACCCGCTTAGCAGGCTTTTCGGCAGGTTTCGCCTCTTCGTGAGCCCGCTTCGTCCCTTGAGGTTGAGGGGGTTTCGGCTCCCGTCTGACCGGTGAACTAGCCGGTTGTGAAGAAGGAGGGGTAATGTTCTCTTTGTTGCCGTCAGGAGCTTTCGCTGGCAGCAGACTTGCTGGTTTGAAAAACAGCATCAACAGCTGCTGTTTCTTGGCCTTCAACGGGGTGGATCCCGGCATTTTGGCCACGGTCATTTACCTAAGGTGAACGTACTCAGGGGAGACGCGCGGTTCTTGCCTAAGTAGCCAGACGCGTTCGGGTGTGCACTTAAGCTCAGCTGACCACAAAAGATGAGCAAGCCATCCAGCTAACTGAGGAAAGTTCAGATTTGAAATATCATTGTGATACTTACTTTTTGTTCTCTAATCCAGCTGTGACGAACTTCATCCTCTTTGATATATTTTGCACAGAGTTATTTTGAGGGGAACGTCCTTAAAGTTTGCGAGTCACCATCACAAATCTCTATCCTTCGGTGTACACTTTCAAAACCTCATTGTTGAAAAGTATAGATGATTGACAAACGTCATGTAGTTGGTATGCATTTCTAAAAATTCAAACGTAGATACTTAACTTTACACCTCCATCTCCATACCCATTTCGCACCGCACATACCATGACCAGGCTTCGAGGATGGCTGCCTCGTTATTTCGATATCGGCGTCAACTTCAGTGATGCCATGTTTTCTGGTATCTATCACGGACGCCAGCACCACCCGCTGGACCTCGACCAGGTGATTGCCCGTGCTAAAGCCGTGGGTGTCGATAAGATGTTGATCACTGCTCTGCTGATAGCGGAGTCCAAGAGCCATCTTGACCTATGTCGTGACCATCCCGGGTTTTACCAGACGGCAGGTGTCCACCCCTGTCAAGTTTCCCTGGAGTTTTATGTCGCCAAACCCAAAGACGAGATTGTTGAAGGGGAACCTCATTATACTGAAACTCTCAGAGACGACGTCGATGAACGACTCGAAGACCTCAAACAAACGATTGTCGCTGGTCATGCTCAGGGGTTTATTAAAGCTTTCGGCGAAGTGGGGCTTGATTACGACAGATTCTTCTTTTCACTGAAACGACAACAACTCACCATGTTCACTAAGCAGCTCGAAATGTTGCGTACCATCAAGCACTTGGAACTCCCGCTTTTCTTGCATATGCGGGCTGCCTGTGACGATTTTATTGCTTGTCTCAAGCCGTTCATTGCTGACGGTACGGTAAAGCTGGGGGTGATTCATTCGTTCACTGGTACCGAAGAAGAGTTAGACAAATTGAAGGCATTGGAGATCTTCCACTTTAGTGTTAATGGATGCTCATTGCGCTACCCTGAAAATGTCGAGGTGGCGGCCAAAATTCCCATGGATAAACTTATGATCGAGACTGATGCCCCATGGTGTGAAGTTCGTCGCACTCACGCTTCGTACAAGTATATCACCCCGTACCCTAACGTGTTCTATCCTGATCTTGTCACTGATTACCCCATTAAGTCTTCCAAGTTCAAGTTTGACGCCAATTTACCATTCACTTCCATCAAGAAGGAAAACTGGACTAAGCACCACGATGAAGTCAACAAGCAAATCTCTCAGCTCGAATTGGACGCTGCTGCTCATCGTGTGGTGGGCGATCTTGCTCCTCCCATGATCAAGCTGAGAAACGAACCCGCTGGCATTGTGATGGTGGCAGAGATCATGTGTGGGATCTACGGACTCAAATCTGAGGAAGACATCGAAAAATTCCTCGACACCGTTTACCGCAACTCCTGTGAGGTGTTTAAAGTTTAGAAGCCTAATAAATACTACTTTAACTAAAATTTAAGCCGCTTTCTAACCCACATATGTGTGGTATGTCAAATATCGGTTTGACGGACTTAAATCTAAATTATATGCACACTCCGCATTATCCTGCGAGAAGCCGAATCTCACGTCAAAACCATCACCCCCGTCAAAATGATTGCTGATGTGATCAAGTTTGTCTTCACTTTCGTGTTTTGCGTGGTCGTATCCAGCAGTTTTGTCGGGATGATGCTGCTAATGCCGACAGCGGAGAGTATCGCGGTGCAACTACTATTCCCTATCACGGTCACATGGTTGGTGTGTTCACTAACGGTAACGGCCGACATTGTATGTGACAACAATCGAGAAGACTTTCCATGGTGTGCGTTGCGAGCGGCCCATCAGAAAGGATTGTTAGGTACGCTCTTTGTGTGGCCGCTGATAGGGATGATCCTGTGCCTTCTATATTTCATTGTCGCTCCGAAGATCCCACGCCACGCAATCGGAATTACCCACTGACCAACTAATAGAGATGAAGCAAATAGCATTTAATCGAACGACGAAACGATCTTGATAAAATAAAACCAAAAAAATAGCAAAAGGAATGATTCTGCCCGGGCTCGATCCGGGGACCTCATGCGTGTGAAGCATGCGTCATAACCAACTAGACTACAGAACCGATCTTGATTTTCTGAATTTTCCACTTTTTCATACCGTGGTGGACAGAACTCAAAAATTTCGTAATTTCGCCTCATCTTTTGTGCATTTTCTATCATACTCTCAGATTCTATCAATTATATTCTACTTACAGGTCGCCATTCACCACGGCATCGTGAATAATTTGGTAATTAGGCTTGTAGCCAGTGTGCAACTCGAATTGGCGATCACCCTGGTTCACCAACATCTCGGCCCCAGGGATCACCTTCCACCCGTGTTCTTCAGCCAACTTCATCATCGGCGTCACCGGAGGCTTGTAGCTAGCTTCCAACAACGCTCCCAGGCTGTGCTTCAACACGGCAGTGATCTTAGCCATCACCAGGTCGTCAATGGGCAGCCCCAGGGGCACGCAAGAAACAACCACAGCCACATTTTCAATGGCATTAGCTTCTTCCTCGGTGTTCACAACCTTAAGTTGGTCGAAGGGCATGCTGTCCTTGACTTCTTGCACCTTGGACGCGGTACGGTTGATCATGTAGATCGACTCACACCCCATAGCGTTCAAAGCATAGACAGCTGCTCTCAGGGTACCGCCCAGACCGACAATGACCCCGGCTTTACCTCTAGCAGTGGTGACACCAGCATAGCGAGCGAACAGCTGAGTAATGCCCACCCAGTCGGTGTTGTCACCCTTGAACTTGTTGTCACCAATGGGAATAACGGTGTTGACAGCGCCAATGATCTTTGCGGCGTCAGAGAGCTCTTGGACATAATTCATGATGTCCAACTTGAGGGGCATCGTCACCGCGAGGCCACCGAAGTCAGGACGAGTCATAAGCTCGTTGTAAACGGGCTTGGCGACCTCAGCTTCAAACCGGTCAAAGTGGTAGGGAAGACCCAATTGCTTGTAACCAGCATTGTGCAATTGAGGCAGTCTCAGGTGAGCGATCGGCAGCCCCACCACCCAAAACTTCAAGTGGTCCAAGCCGCCGACTTGAGTGTATAACTGGTTAAGTTCGGCCACTCCCAGATCAAGCAGAACCGGAGTAAACAATTGGTTGGTGATTTGGGACAACTTGCCGTGAGTGCCAACGTTGTAAGCCGAAAGAGGAACTTCCAGCACCGTAGCCCGGAAGACTTCGACATCGGCGTTGTCAGCAAACAGTCTTTCGCCAATGCCAATGAAGCGAACGGCATCCAAGTTGAGCGCTTGGTTGTACTTGTTCATCCAGTCCAAGTCGTCCCACTTCAAGGTGGAAGCGTAAACACCAATCACCTTAGAGTGGCCGCGCTTCAGCACCACGCGGTCAAGCACGTCTTGGTCGAGAGTCAAGGGCACAGCCACGTACTCAACCGCCAACTTGAACGCCTGGGCGGCATGAGCTTCCACCAAAGCATCGGCAGAGACATTGATCACAAGAGGGACATCGACATGCTTACGGATCTGGCTCACTGCCAACGAGATATCCGCACCCACGGCTTGAGTGCCCACATCCAATTCAAGAGCAGCACAGCCAGCAACTTTAGTGGCGAATTCTTCCACGCGGTTGAACACATCGTCAAGGCTCACTTGAAGTACCAAGCTGCGCAGTTTAGGGATAGTCACCGAACGTTGACCCGTGATAAGCAACACAAACCGCGAGAACGATCCTCTAAGCTGGACGAACTCCTCGCTGGTAGCGCAGTGGTTGCTGTAGAAGTGGTAGTTCAGACAGTCTTTGTACCATTGCTTCCGACGTTCCCACACTTGTTCGATCTCTTCGGCAAGCAGAGGGCGCGAAGTGTCGGCATTGAGGAATGCAATAGTTTCACCGATATCACGGTGGAGGTGGAGAACAATTCCAGAGTAAGCTTGTAAAAGCTTACGAGCCAGCTCCAGTTCCACGATACCGCCACCAGTGGAAATGACGGTTTTGGTGGCGTTTTTAGCCAACACTTCCTTCAACAACGCAGCTTCCTTGACGCGGAATTCGTCCCAGCCATGGGCACCGACAAATTCCGGGATAGCACCATGCTTTAGTTCAAACACAGTGTCCATATCCAAGAACTTGAACCCTAAGATGTCAGCCATCCATTGCGAAAGAGTGGTCTTGCCGGCAGCTCTCATGCCAATGACAATCACCAGCTTATCGCCATTAGTGGTTTGCACCTGGTCGTGAGCACCTTCGTAACCGTCCAATTGACAGTTAAAGGTGGTGTGCAAAGTGTCCCACCAACCCGGCCACGTCTTGCCCGTGGTGTGTCTTTCCTTGATGATGACATCACCACCACACACCCCAGCGAGAAGCGAAAGCGACATCGCCACCCGGTGGTCATCATAGGTGTCGATGGGTTCTTGAGGCACTTGCAACTTCTCCGCGCCAAAGACGATGATACCATCGTCGAACTCGTCAGTCTTAACACCGAACTTGGCCAACTCGGTACGCATAGCCTCGATACGGTTACATTCCTTGACTCTTTGGTTAGCGATACCCGAAATTCTAGTAGGAGAAGCCCCGGGAGCCATCGCCGCCACCACCAGCGCCGTCAAGAACGCATCGGTCATGGGTTCCATGTCCACTTCAGGCAACGGCTTAAGCTGCTTAGGACCAGTGACGGTGGTCAGCGTCGCTGTTTGAGTGACGGTACAACCCATGGGACGAAGCACATCGACGGCGAAACGAGCATCCCCTTGTAACAGCTCCAGACCAATGTTGGGTACGGTACAAGTAGTGCCAGTCATGGCGGCAAACGCCAACGGGTAAGTGGCCAGCGACGCGTCCAGTTCCACCACGTACTCGGCAGGGTTAGTGTAGGTGGCCTTGGGGATATGGTAGGTGTATTCTTCCGTGGTCAGCCTTTCCACTTTAACGCCGAATTGAGCCATCATGGCAATGGTCATGTCGATGTACAATTGCGAGATCGGCTTACCACCAACAAGGGCCAAGGTGACAGGTTCATCGGCGTAGGGAGCCGCCATTAAGATCAGCGACACGTACTGCAGCGAGATGGTGGCGGCAAGCTCAATACGGCCACCCTTAAGCCCGCGGTTAGCGGCAATCTTAAGCGGCAACAGCCCTTCGCGGTTCATGTACTCGATGCTGACCCCGTTCAGACGAAGAGCATCGACAAGAGGACCAATAGGACGCTCTTGCATTCTGGCATTACCAGTTAAAACCACGGGGACATCGCCCAGCACCAACGACGCCACCGTAGTGAGGAATCGCAGCGCGGTACCAGCGTTACCCAAGTATAACGGACGCTCCACCAGAGTCAATTTACCACCACCCTGGATAACCAAAGTGTCACCGTTGTCTTCCGTACCAACAATACGAGCACCCTGTAAAGCCTCAACAGCGTCGATCATGTGCTTGGTGTCGTCCAGATGAAGCAAGTTCTTGATCTTAACGGTCCCCTTACCCAAAGCAGCGAGCACAAGGGCCCGGTTCAGGATCAGTTTCAGCCCCGGAGGCACCACTGTCAGTTGTTGAGGAGGGTTAGTGAAAGGGTGAACGATGATTTCGTCAGTAAGGATCACGCCAATGTCTTGCTTGAAGATCTGGTGAGCCTTTTGTTGGTAACATCTCCCAATCGACTCTAACAACACACAGCGGATCTTCAGCCCGTCGTTCTTCTTATCGATAAGCATCTTTTGAATGAGGACATCCAAGTTGAGCAACTTACGCTTGTAGCCCACTTTACGCAAGAACTCGGGGTCATCAACGGTAACGGGCAAGCCGTAAGCGACGAGGGCTTTGGCTAAACGGGCCACAGCCACGTCGGATAAGATCCCAAGGTACCGCAGCAATTCAGCCTCCAAAATCATCCCCACGGACACACACTCACCGTGGAGCGCTTGAGGGGTCAACACGGCTTCAATGGCGTGGCCAATGGTGTGGCCAAAGTTAAGCAAGTTCCGCAAACCGCCTTCCTTTTCGTCGGCAGTAACCACTTGGGCCTTAACTCTGACTGACTCCAACACCGTTTTGATGAGCTCAGGCTTAATCAGCACCAAGTCAGGTTTTTCTTGAGCGATAGTAGTGCGGAAAGTATCGGCGAATTGTTCGAGGCGAGTGAACTCGTCCTCGTTCCAGATGGCAGCGGTCTTCACCACTTCCGCCATCCCATTGATAAGCTGACGTTGAGGCAAGGTTTGCAAGAATTCGACGTCGATAAACACGTACTCGGGCTGGTGAAACGCCCCGATGAAGTTCTTCCCCAACGGAGTGTCGATGGCCGTCTTACCGCCGACACTCAGATCGACCATGGCGAGCAAGGTAGTGGGCACTTGCACCACCCGAACACCTCTCATGAACGTAGCGGCGACAAAGCCAATCATGTCACCAATAACCCCACCACCGACGGCAAGGATCACCGTGTCTCTGGTACATCCGTGCACCAACAAGAAGTCTTCCACGGCGGCTTTAGTCTCACGGTTCTTGTTGTTCTCCCCCGGGGGTACCACGTAGGTAAGCAACCGCAGCTCTGGTCGCTGCTGTTTGAGGTGGGCGACAAACGAGTCCCTCAACTTGGTGTAGGGCTCGGTCTTGGCCATGTTTTCGTCGGTGATGATGACGTAGGTCGACAGCGCCAACGTGCCAATGGTTTGCTCGACGATGTGGCTCTGGATACCATAGCCAACGTGGATGGTATCCTTACCAAGGATCGTCACTTTTTCAATCATTCCCGTCAAGGGTGAGTATGCTCGTTAACTTTTCGGTGGGTCGATTTCGGACGAACGAATTTTTCGCCGGTAGCGGAGGGGTGAGTCATGGCGATGGCTAGAGGAGACAACCGGTGAAAAATCACTTTTAGAAAGGTGAAACAAGGGAGGATGGTATTTTAGGGGACTGTTTTGGTTGTAATTGTTATAGAGAAAAGTGAATTAAGGTGACATCTAGGTGCCAGTGAATCTATAAGTGAGTGTCTCTAGAGTTAATCCGGATTACGAGTCTCTTTACAATGGTTAACAATTTCAATAGTGATAAGTGCTGCTTATTTCTTCTTTCAGGCTTCTATATTTACTCTGCTATCATCCTCGTTGAAGGATAGGTTCCATTCCTTATAAAGGTCTGATCTGAAAACGCTTGTAGTTTGAAAACGGTTGCAATATGAAAAATGCTTGCAGTGAGAGCAATGGCAGGCACAATCGACCTAGCAACCACTTACTTTGATGTGTACTGGCAGCCTCGCCTTAGCCTGTTGATATAGATCGCTTATCAGATAGTTTATGCTTCTCATACATGACGAGTGTGGAATTTAGTGGCAAAAACCTGAGGGACGAAATCAACACTGGATTAATATCACCATTGTTCCGGAGCCGCAGCGTAACCCCGGATAATTTTTTAGCCCAGATTTTGAAATTGCGTCATATCAAGGGGCTTCGAGGTATATCGTCCCCGCCTTCGTTTTGAACAACATTTGTTAGTCGAGTTAAGGTATCAGGATAGATCTCGTACCATCACACCCCCGGGTTTGTCCCACAATTCCCGTTTCCGAAATAGCAACCCAACAGATAAGGGATTGACAATATGCCTCAGATCGAATAGATATTCAATTACGGAGCTCTCCTCAAGACATATTAATGAAGTTGTCCCAAGATTGAAAAACAGCTACTTTCACTCCATGACAATTCAACAAATGTACCACTCAAAAGCCCACCAAACGCCACCGGGTCCACCTTGCTACCTTGACAGAAAATCTCGTTTTGTTAAGTGTGCCACCTTGAGTTTTATCAGAGGCAGAAGGAAGCAGTGAAGAAGAAGATGAAGAAGTGACGAACAAGTTGTTTATAGCCACAGTGTTTGAGTGCCAATGCGAAAGTGGTGATATAGTTAACTGATCTGAAAGAGACGTTGGCTATCCCTCGAGTCATTGACCCTTATCTTGGTACTGAACTCGAAGTCAATGGATCAATTCGTCATTGGTTTCTAGCGTCAAAGACCATGAGATGCGCTACAAATTGTTGACACTATAATATTCTCAGTTGACTTCTCTTCACTTTCAATCGATTAGTTTTGATGTACGCTTTGACGACACAGGTCTTACATCAAATACATCAGCTTTATGAGCATAACTCAGTTGGTTAGCCTTTCATGTTGGGACAATAGAAGGATGGTGGAGTCTGAACTAAACCAAATGACCTCATGGTATGCAAAGGAGGCTTGTTGAAGTGCGATGACGTCTCCTTCCACACAACTTCCATATGTTGGAGCTGCGACTCGACCTCAAATTTAAGCCAGAGCTCTTCGGTGCCGACATTAACAATCTCTACCGACTTTACCGATGCCGAAATGAAGAGAGGGCGACTTTCGGAGCAGTCAATATAAACGCCATTGAGTTTGAGCCTTTGTAACGTTGAACATCCCAAAAACGCTCGATAACCCAATATACCGCCGGGCTTAAGACCAACATCCACTCGGGGAAGCAGAACCGTTAGATCTTCAACACCGCGATATAACTCAGGATTCAATAGTGGGGAACCTGAGGCATTTAGTTCACGGCACCTGATGTTTGTTCCGATGAGACGGCCGAATGAAGAACTATCGATTATCCCCACTTTGACGGCTATGATATTGGTGGAATTAAGTATCAGACACAGCATGAACCAGACTTCCCACGCCTCCACACTAATATCTTGAATACTGCACCCATATAATTTCAACGCTTTCAATGCACGGCCGATTCTTAAGGTACTAATATCACATTATTTTAACGTGACGGAAGATACTGCCGGCAGCTCCAATATGTGTGGATTATTCGCGTAATCGGTAAGAGAAATAACGGCTCCTGCATTGGGTGTGCCGAACTCTAACCTACTACTCACTTCGACTGACAAGGTTAAAAGTTGTGGACACAGAATTGATGCGTTCCGAACATCCAACAACTCAGCCTTAAGCAAAGTGGAAGATATGATAGTCACATCGGCTTCCGTCGAACATAGGAAAAAGTTTTTAACTTGCTCAGGAATTCCTGTAACGGGGTATGTGGTCCATACAATGTCTGAGGCACCATGAGCTAATTTGTTAACGGTTCATGCATAGTTATTCCAAAACTTCTAAGCAGCTCGAAATGATCGAAATTGGATATTTCACAGTCTGAGATGCATAATTTGGTGATTCGTATCTTTTGAGATGCATCAAACAAATTCACAACGTCATCGTCTTCAAAATCTTCGGATTCATTCAGGGAATTTTTACAAGATCCAACAGTGTGAGTCTTGGACAATTAGCTCCCCTGAACGATATCGCGTGGTTTACTCGATTAATTTTTATATGTCTCAGGTTTTCCATTTGATAGTTGTTGGGCATATAATTGTAAGTGGTGACTTCTTCCACTTGATCCCACGGTCAATCATGGCGTTCGACATCGATCTCGACGTTTCGAAGATTAGGCAAATCCCATGATACTTCACTTTGATCATTGAGTAGCGCGACATTAACTAGCGACCGTGGCAAGTGGATTCCGACATGGTTGCATTTGTCAACACGCACTTGCTGAAGGCTGGTTAATTTTCTCAAGCTCGTCATACTTGTTATGCGACACTGTGTCATAGACAATTCGACAAGCCCATTCTTAATGCAGGAAGCATCAATGGACACTTAAACAAGCTTGAGACTACTGATAGGATGCTTCAAATCCTTGATTCCTTGATCCACATTATCGTCACCCGGTTGATAAACGTCATCGTCGCTTATTGTCACCACAAGCAGTCTTACTTTCACCTGATTGAGACGATGAGCTGTGTGCCGCCACATCTTCACTGTCGTATTTACCCTGACATCGCAGGGCGGGATTTGAGCAAGGTAAATCAAAAGTAATCTTGGTGGAACCTCGTTCAGTTGCAATAAGCGATACATCCACCATGAGCTTCTTGAGACGGTAGGTCGCCGGTACAGCAGATCGATGGGGAGCAAATGCCACGTAAGCTCGACAGATCAGAGGCACATCGAGTAGCGAGTATATCCTTCTCTGGATCTCGATGGGGAGATCCTTAAACCGATGGAAGGTTGGTTGACGTGCGGTTGTAATGCGCCCACGGTTGAACAACGACATGAAGGATGCCAAGCTGCTCAATGGTATGGTAATAGGGGTTATCAGCGACAAGTCGTTTCCCTTTTACCGCCCGCGGTTTGGAAGAGAAAGGACTTGCCGTTAGACGAGCCCCCATTATTAACATTCCCTAGAACTATCGTCTAGCGTCACGTGCGGCTGTACACAGCATCAATATTGGACCACGCCATTGGGATGGATTCGAACTAGCTAAATGGTAACCTATAACAGATAGTTTGAAAGATTATAACAAACATCGTGTAGTTTCTTGATCTCGTTCAAATTTTCTCTTGATTTTGCGTAGATTATTTTCCATCTTTGGATTTAGACGAATAAATTGCAAAAATGAGCAAAACCAACTATAGTACCTAAGTTCGAGTTTCGAGTGAATTGTTTATTATACATCGTTTCTAGGTCATATACGTTAACCACGTCTAAGTGGAACCCACGCTGACGGTTTCTTCGTGGATGCCTTCATGCTTGCCTTGGGCAGAGTTGACGGCGTCCTTGGCCGTCTTCTTCAAGCGGGGGAGGATCTGTTCCTGCACCACACCAGCGACCTTACCGCTGGCTTCAACCACACCGGGGAGGACATCCTTTTCCAACACCGGTTGCAACTTGTCGTTGATGAAACCAGGGCGCACTTCCTCGTTGGTAATGTTGCCCAAGTTGCGTTGGCCAATGCGTTGGAGGTGGCGATCGAGCAAACCGTAGTTTCTCGAGTTGGCCTTGTAGCCGATAGCCACAAGGGACCCCACTACGGGGATGAGCCCAAGACCAAAATCAAGGGCAATATTTAACAAGAACAAGAGCAGTAAGTCGAGCGGGAACGGGTCACTGAGCTTACGCGTGAGCCAAAGCAACAGCAACAGCCAGTACATCAGCACCACCGGCCCTGCGACGGGGACCAAATTGACAATCAGCGACCAGCCGAATTTAATCAGCCCCCACAGGAACCACTGGTCGTAGCGTACGGCCCGTTTGCGGAACTCCTTTAACACCTGGGCATCGTTGTCGTTGACGCCATCGGGAATGGGCCGAGGCACTTTTTTGGTCACCACCTTCCCCCGCCTTTTCACCTCCACCTGCATCGAGTAAGGGTCCTCGACCCCGATCCGGTCCCATTGGTTGTCCCTCAACAAACGGTTGACGACATACTTGGCAATAAACAGCATCGTCAATGGGAAATTTCTGGGGGCACAAGTGGCTAGTGGGGGCCTTTTATTGCTCTAGCAACCATACCGTCTGCGTGGCTGAGCCCAGCAGCCGTTAGCCACCGCGATGACCAGTGACGACACATTTCGTAACATAGTTGCTACCACCCGCTACTACACCTTCCACAAGATTCTATCACGGGACTATAGTTTACACGGAACCCCATTTTGAGCTTGTGACTGCTTACCGTTAGTACTCGCTTGTAAAGAGTGCATGCGCAATTGTCAGGCGACGAGACCCTCACTTAGCACCGTCCCCTGACGGATATGACGTAGCACATGAAGACACAGACAATATCTTCCCCGCAGATACTGGGGCCGGGACACCTCATTGTTTTCTTTTGATGGGCCCACGTACCCCACGGGCCGTTTCCACCTTCTCTCAGCCGTGTATATCGGCGCCAGCAGCACATGGGCTTATGGGCATGTGAAAAGCAATAAAAAAAGAAACGCACCCGACCTTATTACCCAAATACATACTTCGGGCCACAGTTATATCATCACCACGTTTTCCTAACTTACACTACATTCAGCAAAGATGGTGGTCCGTGAATTCGTGGGCCGGGCGATCTTCAGCGTCCCCATCGTGGGACGGGTGGCTCGCTACACCACGGGAGCCTCCGACACCAAGCTGGAGGTCGAAGTGGTGTCCGATGATGATGAGATCGAGGTGGTGGAGCCCGACTCCCCCAGAGAGAAGATCCACCGCCAGTTGCTTAAAAACCGCATTGACCGAGCCGAGGCCTTCATCGACGACGACGAAGCGACTCTCACCGACCCCGAAGTCCGTGGCATTGATGGTGTCCGGGAGCACCGGGTCGAAGAGTTCTTGTACCGTCAGGCTTCTAGAGAGATGCAAAAGCCCCAGGAGCAACTGAACCCAGGCTTCGTGCTGTACTTGGTGACGCTGGGGGCGCAGAGATTGCTTGGTCGCCGTCACAGTCCCGAACCTGATGCTTATAGTGATGGTGAAGGAGCGCCTAAAGTGCTGGTGGCGAAGCGGTTGTTAGATACCGATATCAAGATGGACTTGTTTTTGGACTCATTAGATGCTACCACCAAAAAGCGTCTCCTCCAAGAATTGGCCCACGACCTTGAGCTTCACAATGAACTCCCTGGCTACACCCCGAGAACGGGATCAAGCACCCCTCGCCTGGGCTTCCGTACTCAACCACAATCAGGTCCCGACATTGGCGTGGACAAGTTGAAGGAAGAACTTATTATCCTCATTAAGTTCGGGGTGGTGTGCTGGAAGATTCTGATGCCATTGTTCCGCTACTTTTACCGCAGGTACATGGACAACTCCCTCTACTTTTTCAACCAGCGCAACACCGCCACTGTGTTCGATTTTGTTCTCAAAGTGATGAGAATTGTTGAGCAGAGATTAGGTGACAATGAAGACATGATTGACCAGATTTACAATAAAGGACGACGACTGCGCGACATCACCGACCGCCAAGTGGAGGCCTTATACACCGAGATATCCCTGGAAGCACTGAACTTCTTCAACCTGCTGCTGATTCGTCAGCTGTTGTTCGACTTCATGTTGGGCCGAGTGTACGTGCTGAAGCCGTCGCCGCCGTCGCGGCTGCCAGAGCCGTTGAGACTGTCATTTGAAGAGAACTTGTACAAGTTTGAGACGATGAACCGGTGAAAATCACCGGTGACCTCCGCTGGGTGGAGCGTCACATTGCATTTATACGCCTTTGTAGGGCTTATGAACATGAGAAATCCATTTTAATCGCGAACATCTTATTTTCCTTAGACTTATCTTTCGCTGACGTCACCCCGTAAATTGAGGAAAAAAAGGTCGCTTAGGGAGTTAAGCTTTTTCGTTATCTATTCGCGCACCTGGAATTATCTCGGCCTTGTCGGATGCTTGGGAGATCCGGGGGGG